CAATTTCTTACATTTTTAAACAACAGAGCAGAATTAGTCGAAACAATACATAGCAATAAACAGTCATACAAAACATCTCATACAATACCACAAACACAGAAACAAAAATCATTTGCCATAGTTACCGAAAAAATACATAATAATACAAAACATCAATTTTGTCCACTATGTAAACAAGAACATTTTCTTTTCAACTGTAATTCATTTAGAGATTTGGATGTTGACACTCGTATTAAAAAGATATCTACCTTTAAAAATATTTGCAAAAATTGTTTACGTATTGGACATTCACACACGTCATGTAGGCTGACACACTGCAAATATTGCAACCATAAACATAACACTCTTCTTCATAAAGATATTGAAAATAGTAAAAACAATACAAACATCGAAACTATATCACTATCAGCACATACTCAATCAAATTCATCTTCCATGTCCCACTCTCATATATTGCTTTCCACAGCCATGGTGACAGTGAAAGACATCAGCGGTGTTCAGCATACTGCCAGAGTCCTGCTGGACAACGGCAGTACATCCAACTTCATCACCTCCCGCCTCTGCGAGAGGCTGGGTCTGACCGGGTTTGACGCGTACTCCACAGTGGTAGGCATAAATAATCATAATACATCTATTACAAAATCATGTGTACTTGAGATAGGATCTTGCAATGGAAGTTACAAGACAAACATTGAATGTTACATTTTACCACACATCACCACATCATTACCATCAGTATTTATACATAAAAAACACATTAAGATACCTACAGGGATTCAACTTGCCGATCCTTCCTTTAATGTTCCTGCTTCTATAGACATATTAGTCGGCGCTGAAATATTTTGGAATATATTAGGTACCAATATCATCAATATGGGAAAACATCAACCATCATTACGCGAGACAAAACTAGGTTGGATCGTATCAGGTTCTATTCCCAACACACCAAATACCAAAAATGCCATTTGTAACTTTTCGCAATCTATAGAATCTCAACTTAATCGGTTCTGGGAGTTAGACTCTGTAAGTGCTAGCTCCTCCTTTTCCAAAGAAGAAAAAGCATGCGAGCAAATGTTCCAAAGTACAACGAGGCACGACGATGAAGGTAAATTTATAGTTACCATCCCTCTTAAAGAACCCCCGCAAGAATTGGGCGATTCATACACAATGGCAAAAAATAGGTTTCTTTCTTTAGAAAGAAAACTACAGCGTAATAATAAGTTAAAAAACGATTATCATCAATTTATGCGTGAGTATTTAACGCTTGGGCACATGACACTTAACACAAACATAAAAAATGAAAACACAAACATATATTCATTAACTTCTAATAACACATCTAATCCTACATCTACCACCCGATCATCAAATAAAATATTAACTTATACATCCATACATAAACCAAAACGAACCTCAATGCAAACATCAATACATAAACATACATCAAATCATCCATATATACAAACACATAATGCATTTACATCTACTACTAATAAATCTACAAACATCATAAACAACTACCTACCTCATCATGGAGTAGTTCGAGATTCCAGTACGACAACAAAACTACGGGTGGTCTTCGACGCGTCAGCAGCGACATCTACAGGTAAATCTTTTAATGATATACAGAGAATAGGACCGACTATACAAGACGATATTTTTTCAATCCTACTCCGCTTCCGGCAGCATAAATATGTTGTCACCAGTGACATCGAGAAAATGTACAGAGCCATCTATGTAGAACCTTCACAACGTCCTCTACAACAAATCATATTCAGGTTTGACCCTTCAGAACCACTACAAACATTTACACTAAATACTCTTACATACGGTACTGCGTCAGCCCCATATTTGGCAACTCGATGCTTACTTACCTTAGCTGAAAAATGTATAAATATTGATACCAAGCGCGCCCTCCGTCATGATTTCTATATTGACGATTTTTTGAGTGGCGGGGATTCGATAGAAACTGTCATCAATCTTTGTAATGAAGTCATTCACGTCTTAGAGACAACTAAATTTAATCTACGTAAATGGCAATCTAATAGTCCAGAGATCATTGAATCAATTTTAAAAATAAAAGGTGATACAGAAAAATCGTTAAATTTAAATAATATAACTCAAAATAAAACATTAGGTCTATATTGGAATACAGTTACAGATACTTTATTTTATGAATTTAATTCGGACCCCAATTTAAAGGTCACTAAGCGCACCATATTATCTGCCATAAGTCAAATATTCGACCCTTTAGGTCTCGTAGGGCCCTGCATTGTAACAATAAAAATAATATTACAAGAATTATGGAAAATTAAAGCTGATTGGGACGACAATGTACCAAATGAATTAAGATCATCTTACCTCAAATTAATACAATCACTTCCATCACTGAATACATTAAGCATACCACGTTGGACATTTAATGACAATGACACTACCGTAACAGAGATACATACATTTACAGATGCATCTGAACTAGCTTATGGAGCATGTTGTTACATCAAAACAATCACACACACCGGTAACATTCGTGTGCGTCTATTAACTTCCAAAAATAAAATTGCACCTATAAAGTCAAGTACAATACCTCGTCTTGAGCTATGCGGGGCCTTATTAGGTACCAGGCTTTATAAAAAAGTAACAAAATCATTAACAAAGAAATTTTCCAAATGTTTCTTTTATACAGACTCTTCTATTGTCTTAGGCTGGTTAGCCACTTCATTTAATCAATTAAAATCATTTGTTAGAAATAGGGTAAATGAAATTCATGAAAATACCGACGATGCAGTGTGGAACTACGTGCCGTCAAAAGAGAACCCAGCAGACCTGGTTTCTCGCGGGGCGAGGGCTGAGTCACTCATTGCCTCAAATCTGTGGTGGACTGGCCCCACCTTTTTACATTCACTACATACGCACACATCGATCAATCCTAACACATCCACTCAAAGAAATTTGCCTCTTCCAGAAATGTCATTCTTTCTCGATGAAGTAGAAAATTCAATAATAAACTTGATAGAGAGAATTTCTAATTTCTCGAAATTAATCAGAATAATAGCATACGTAAATAGATTTATAAATAATGTAAGAAACAGAGAAATTAAAAACAAAGATCACTTATCTTTATCAGAAATAATGCTAGCGCATAATAAATTAATTCGCATCACGCAACAATATATAATGTTTCCGGAAGAATATCACATCTTAAGTTCAAATCAATCATTACCATCAAAAAATAGAATTTTATCACTTTCCCCTTTTCTCGATTCAGACAGGATCATTAGAGTAGGGGGTCGACTTCACAATGCAAATTATAGTTATGATGTAAAGCACCCAATCCTTCTATGCAGTAAGCATACTCTCACGAAATTAATATTTGAAATGCAACATATAACGTCACTTCACGCTAGCCCTCTTTTATTACTCTCTCAAGTACGACAAAAATATTGGGTACTCGGGGGAAGGAATTTAGCCAGACGCATAGTACGTTCATGCATTCGTTGTGTAAGACAAAAGGCCACAACTACACAACCAATAATGAGTAATCTGCCTTTTGAAAGACTAAATTTGGAGTTTCCTTTTCTTAACACGGGTGTAGACTACGCTGGGCCAGTGATGATTGTCAATCGAAAAGGTCGCGGTGGCCGACTAATCAAATCCTATATTTGTGTTTTTGTTTGTTTCGCAGTTAAAGCGTTACATCTGGAGCTCGTCTCAGATCTCACAAAAGAATGCTTTCTAAGTGCTCTCAACAGATTCATTGCTCGACGGGGCAAACCACACACGCTGTACTGTGACAACGGGACTGCGTTTGTGGGCGCTTTTAATCACATAGTATATAATTGTAGAGACGACATGAATAGTCAAGGTATCAATTTTAAATTTATTCCTGCTTACTCTCCACATTTTGGTGGCTTATGGGAGGCCGCTGTAAAGTCTGTCAAATTTCATTTATTTAGAATATTAGGGCAATCACATCTCACTTATGAAGAAATGATAACTTGTTTAACGCAAATTGAATCTATTTTAAATTCTAGACCTCTAACCCCTATGTCAACAGACCCGTCTGACTTGACCTTTCTTACCCCCTCTCATTTCCTTATTGGACGGTCGCTCACGTCGGTACCCTATCCGGATCTGACGGATGTCAACATTATGACACTTCAGCGCTATCAGCGGGTCGAAAAGCTAAAACAACATTTTTGGCAGAGATATGCTAACGAATACGTATCTCTACTTCAACAGAAATGCAAATGGAAGAAATCTTCAGGCCAACTTCAAGTCGGGACCATGGTGGTCATTAAAGACAAGACGTCACCACCGATGGTATGGCTTCTGGGTAGAGTCATAAAGCTTATCCCTAGCTCCGACGGCATAGCGAGGGTGGCTGACATCAAAACCAGAAAGGGTGTGCTCCGGCGAGCTTACAACAATATATGCCCACTTCCAGTCTTCTCTTCTTGAAGATGATTCTTCAACGCCGGGGAGTATGTCTGCGCCTACACCTGCATCACTAGCGAGGAGGGGGCGCACATCACTACGCCGGACCCGGCTGCCATCGATGCCGGGTGCGGCGCGGCGACACACACACTCAGACGACGCACGCATACGCATTCGGACTACTCGACGCGACATATTCATTATATTGAGATTTTCCTCGAATTACAGTCCATTTAAAGTCTTCGTTTCTTTTATTTTTATCTTCAAATAACTTACACATTTTAAATATCTTATTAATTTATTTTGGTTACTATTATATAAGAATAGCTTGGTGGCGTAGTGGATAAGCGCCGCGGCCCACGATGGGATGGATGACCAAAAAATTATCTCAAGCTACTCCGTGCTTCAGAAGGCACGTTAAGCCATTGGGCCAGGGTAAAAGGTCATGGTCCATCCTCCTTAACCATCCATTAGGAAGGCCTTAGCCCCTGCAGTGGGGATGTAAAAGAGCTGATGATGATGACTATTATATAAGTATATGTATATATTTCTGTATATTGCAGCCCAAATATGACATTGTTGTTCATGGTACATATTTAAAATGCTGGCCTCAAATTAAGGTGGAAGGTCTTAGTCGAATGAAAAGGCAACATATACATTTTGCTAAAGGAACTCTGGAAGACCATTCAGTTATAAGTGGTTTGCGGAGAGATGTACAAATATACATTTATATTGATTTAAAGAAAGCCCTGGATCATGGAATAATTTTTTTTGAATCAAATAATGAAGTCATCCTTTCACCAGGAAACAAAGAGGGTTACTTAGAACCAAAATATTTTTCCAAAGTTGTTAAAGTTAAAACTGGTATGATTTTTTATATATCCATATGTGCACATAATTTCATATATCGCTTTAACAACTACATTAATAAGTATTTAATGTAAATATACAGTGTTGAGGCTGATTTACATGTGATCAGTAAAAAGTTGTTAAAACTGACAGTATTGTTCACACAAGGGGGCGCCCCCTCCCCTAGAGTTTCTTAAGAAATTGTCTAATGTAATGCAACCAAAGTCCTAAGTCTTTGACTTCACTTGCTTGATCTATCATTTCCATATGTCGAAACTCAAATGAACTTCCCAATTATAATTCAACACTCAACAATGCTCTGTGCTATTGTTAAAGCTGGGAAAGGGGAATGGTGTACATTCAAACCTCCAAATTATATTTACTCTACAGTCTAGAGCTTGTGTAACTTTCGAAGTGGAACAATGTACTGTTGTTATTACAATTGCTGTAGATTTAAGGCTCATACCACAAGTAAATAGCTTCATGTGATCTCAACTTTAGGGCCATGATTGATAGTGCCCCTGCTCAAGATCCTTTATGAGTCCCTAGTCATAGTATCATCTCTACTATTAATTAATACTAGAGCAGAATTGAGTTAGATCAACAATGGACAAGACAATTACTGACCATGTAAATGTGACTTTACACAAAAGTGAATGGTTACAATTATTTAGCATTCAATAAATAATTGAATAATAAATAACTTACACTAAATCAGGTCATTGCACGTATAGCTTCAAATTACTTAATTTAGTTTTGCTTGTTCTGTAATTTTTTTCTGTTATTCATCATTGAATTAACATATTTAGAAGTGGACATTCTTGAATTGGTCTAATAATGTAGATAATTAGAATCACTTATAATATGTTTAACTATATAATTAGTTAATGACATAAGGTGTTTGTATTTGATTATATTCATTTGATATTTGAACAGATATCATTGCAGTTATTTAGATTTCATGATTACTTCAAAATAATCTTTGAAAGGCATTTATTTTTATTATTTTCTCAATAAGTTAGTTATAGTATGTACATTATGTAAATCATTTGCAATTATTGAAATGTGCTTTGTTTTGCTTCTAATAATTTTATTTTGAATAACTTATGCTTATGTAAATTAATATGAAAAAGAGTGGATTATTTGAACAATTTTGTAGGTGAACAACTATATCCTTGAACGATGGAAGCAAATACAGAGAGGGCGAGCGATGCGGCGACGTCTAGTGGGCGGAGCCCTCGTCGGTACGGACGCAACACGCGACCGCGCGACCCTCCCGACCCACTGAGGGTCATCGTCACAGGTCACTAAACTCGATCAATGTCTTATGGTTAACTTTATATCACCAACCATTAATGTTGAAAATACAATTTGAGCTCTAACGCGACGCCGTTCTGTCTCGTAGGCTACCCCCCTTACTCCCAGCCGCAAGACCTGGCCCGTGTGTTCACCAAGTTCGGGCAGGTGAACGTCGACAAGTTGACGCCTAAATACGCAGTGCTCTCCTTCGCAAATAAGGAACAGGCGCTAGAAGCGGTTAAGGCTTCCGATAAAGTCAATGTTTATGGAGAGTTCCTCGTCGTTAAACAGTACACCGATAATAGGGCATCAGAGATTAAGAAGAGTTCACCAAAACGAGACTTCACCAGGAGTAAACAGAAAGGTGCGTCTGAAAAGCTTGATGATGTTTTAAGCATATTACCTTCTATCTGTGAGTTAGCATCTACAGACTTTTTTTACAATCTTTCCTTTTATATTAGAAATGTGATTAGTCATTGTCGTGGTTTGTTCTTACCATAAGGAAGACTGCAAAATTTGCCTACTATGTGTTCTACAAGTCAAAATACAGGTTTCGTTATATTTTCGGAAAATATAATCCATTTTTACTTAGAAGTATTTAACAAAATAAATTTTATGACACTAATTTAAAAAATAAAACATTTTGAAAATTTTAATTAAATTTAAAAATGTAGCAAAAATATACTACAAAAAATTGCTATAATGCATACTTATACATACTCATACTTATATGCATTAAGTTAGTTACATAAAACATTACAACAGCTATAAACATAAACACATAAACTACAATTATTGCTCAAACACCTACCTACCTACCGTAGCATAGTGTGACGTCACTTAGTGCCTTTAATTTATAAGTTTATTTATATACCTATATTACAGGTTATTTTTCGTATCTCAGAAACTATTAAACGCAGACATGCTGTTCATTATTTCTCAGATATTAATGGACTATCCTATTAATATTATATATGTGAAAGTTTCTTTGTTTGGATGTTTGTCCGTCAATCACGCCAAAGCTACTGAACGGATTTTGATGAAATTCGGTATACAAATAGGGTATTAGCTGACTTAGATAATAGGATACTTTTTATCCCACTTAACATTTCTCTAGGGACACGCGAGCGAAGGTGCTGGCGAAAGTTAATTTATTTATATATATTTTTCATATAGCAGCATGAATTTTCCATAAATTAATTAAAAATACCATAAGTATATAAGTATGATACAAAATGTAATATTCTCAAATAATTTTTATACAATTTTTGAATTAAAATTGCTTGCAAATGTCAAATGCTCCTATCTAGTAATGTCATTCTAGTGTTAACATTATATCAAACTATTTTTTAAATAGATCAGTACAAATATGCACCTAAATTATTTAAAAGGAAAATCTAAATTGACTCTTAACAATATTCTATCAATTACAAATTTAAGAAATTCGTTGATACAATTGTATTGTATTCAATGAAATTATTTGCACAAAGACAATTTATATCAAAAAATTACCGTCTAAACAGTCTCAGTGCTTCGGAAGGCATATTCAGTCATTGTACAGCTGTGTAAATCAATCAGGCACGAGGTGATCGTCTATACCAATATATAAAAAGGAAAGATTAGATCGTTCGCATTACATAGGCTACGGAACTAATCGAAAAATTCCTTTACCTACGGGAAGCTACAATTTACGCAGACGAAGTGTCGGGAAACCGCCAGTTATTTACATGTATATAAAAATAAAATTATAACAATAATAAAAGAATATGTGCATTAATAAGATCGGAAATAAAGGAACATTGAAATCGAAAACGGCAAAGGTACCGACAATATCTAAAAGTTTATTTTCTACATTGGTTCAAGTGGGAATGGAATCGAGAAAGTAAATTCATATATAGTGCCTATTCACGAGAGCTAACCACCCCTCGGCTTGTCCCGCACGGTCTACTGCGGCCAAGCTTGCAAATAAATTTCTGGTATATTTTGTGCACCCGATCAGATAGTATAATCGAGCCGAAGGATATAGACCTGTCGGGCACGTTCGCGGAGCAGCTGGAGCGAGTGTTGGCGGCCGTCAGGCTCACGCAGGAGGAAGTGGCCGCGCTCAGCTCGCTCTACACGGACGTGGAGCGGGCGCTGCAGCCGCAGTGGCCAGGTTCGTGTGCTCTACGGCATCTCAGCGCGTATCGCATATATAGGGCGATCACAATAATGAGTGAGCGTGTATGTCTGTATATCAGGTTGCACGGCGATACCTTTCGGCTCTATAACGACCGGGCTGGGAGTGAAGTCTTCGGACGCGGACTGCTTCGTGCTGATCCCGCCTCAGTACCGGCATCCGCACGTCAACTACGTCAACAAAGCCAAGCGACTGCTCGAATTACATCCCAAGGTAAACATCACTGAAATATATCTAGTTAGAAGGAAAAAGTGTACGTACTTCGCGTGCCGAAACGACGTCTAGACAGCTTCATTGCTCGTCGCGAGGCTCAGTCCACTTTCGATCGCAATCGGTGTTGGACGAAATTTAAAATGACGCGTTGTTCGATAATTACCTGCTCAAACACCACCAATACGGTTGGATCTTATAGTCGAGGTATTTCCTTCCATCGGTAAGTAACTATTTGTCTTGATATATCTATTTTGAGTTAAAAATCATTAGTTTTGTTGCTCCGTATTATTTTTATCAAAACGATCATGTGTCCAGTATTAGCTTTCCATTGCGGCTTTAATTTGACAGTCCAAATTTGCTGTGCTTGTAAAACCATCGATGTATAATTCAAGGTCCATTTGTTGGAGGACAAATTATCATTTTTTCTGTCAAAAATGGAGAATAGTGCTGTACAATGCGATTTTTTTACCCGATTGAAAAATTATCGTTTTTGAAAGCAGAAGAAAGGATAATTAATTTTATATTGAATTATACTGTAATTTTTGTTTTAGTTTTCCGTATGATCCTCATATTAAAAATAAATGGATTGAAGCAACAGGACTCTAAGGCAAATAGCAGGTATACTTACTGGACATGGAAACTTTAACAAACACCTATATAACATGGGTTATTCTGACAGTCCTCTGAGCAGGGCGTGCATGGAGACTGAGGAGATTGTCTCCTCAGTCTTCATTCCAGTATCACATAAGCGCTTGTGCACTCATGTGATACTGGAATGCAGGAGCCTATTAAAACAAAAGGACTACATATCTATGAAGCCCAAGGATACTAGTGGAAGCTTGCGGCAGAGTTCGAGATCTTACGGGCTTCCTGGAGGAGCTGGGGTGGCAGGACTAAAGCAACCCCGTGTCATGCAAAATAGGCACAGAGTATCGAGTTGTGGAAAAGCCCGCCGTGAAATATAACATAACATCACAGGACGTAAAAATGTGTAGCGTGTCGGGAGGGGGTAGCGGCTACTATAAAGTGTTTGCCCACAGAAAAATGCCGATTTCTATTCTATCGCATAAAATCTTTTTTGCGCCGATTCACTAAATTACATTCGTGAGTTTGTGACATATATATCATATTTAAGCAAAATGGTAGTCTGTTTATAAAGTCATGAAAAAAATTGAGGGCGCTGCGATCGTGCACGTAGCAACCCTGTGTAGTGAGACAAATGATTTTGATAGTAGGATTTTCTTTATTTATAGTAAAATAAACCGGATATTTTTTTTTACCTTTATTACGCCAGAAAAGGTAAAGAAAGGCGGATAATTCGTAGACAATGAGTTTATTCTACATTGAAGATTACAATATAGTAATCGTAAATTTGATAAATCTTTTTTTTTATAATTACCAAGTTGTTTTCTCGTTTTACTGCAATGTGTGTTTGTGTTCGATTAAAGCCTGTTACTTTGACACTCCTTGTAAGAAAACCCAATCTATTTCAGAATTTAACACAGGACTACAATTAAAATCCAGATCGGTTTTGGCAATCCACTGATGTTTTCTTCATGTAGGTACCTCTTTTTTTCATAGAGTAAAAGAACTGAATCTTTTGTCGAAGTGCACAAATGTTGCAGTTAACCATTTATTTCTTAGGACGACTGTCTATGTTTCCCAGGGGTTTCAAATATGCCACCATTTTTATAGCCTTCATCTACAATACGTATCACTATATTCTCTGATTTTCCTGAAAGTAAGTTTTAAAAATGTAATACCTATAGGTATTTGGCAAAAAGAATGGAATCGCCACAATGATCAAATTAATGCTATTATTTTAGTAAAATAAAGCACAAACTTTTTATTGACGTACGTAGGTAAAAATCGTACATTCCTAACAGATATATTTTTAATTCAGATTAAAATCAATGATAAATTTGATTATCCAAAAGTATTAAAAGTTCGGGCCGCACTACAATATAGCCTTCTAACATTTTCAATATAACCTATAAATGCATAATGAAAACAATACTTATTTTAGTCTTAAATTCATATATTTAGTAAATTTGAAACTTCTGGTAACCAAAACTCAATCAGAAACACGATAACATACCAGTCATAACTGCCGTTCGAGCTTTAACATCCTACAAATATGATAAAATGTGTCCAGCTTCTTGTTCCAATAAACATCACTGAAAAACTTTATAAATAATATCCTGAGCTTCACTCCGATTAATTCTCTTCATTTTTAACACTTTTCTACGGAGTTTAGAAGAAGTAGCTTCAGTTTAATCAAAACAAATCAAAAATGCAGAAAATCGAGCTAAAAAATCAAGTTGTTGACAGTCGATGTATTTTGATTCAGTGTTGTCATACCTTTGTCTAATGTTAGTTCCTCAAAAATTCTTTTCATGACTTTATAGACAGACTGTACACGTTGGTCTCCGTCGATCGATATCGTTTTTTCAATCGATAAGAATTAGTATGCCGTTTCAAATACAACATGTATTCGATGCAAGTGAAATTATGTCTTCCATCCACAGAAATAAATCTAGTTAGAAGGAACATGTTCGTCGATTTATATGGAGACCGAGCGTGCCACATTTTGTGTAGGTATCATGACGTCACGATCTTAATTTAGTGATGGAAGACATAAAAAGACATAAAAACGAGAAAACAACTTGGCAATTATAAAAAAAAAGATTTATCAAAAATTACGATTACTATATTGTAATCTTCAATGTAGAATAAACTCATTGTCTACGAATTATACGCCTTTCTTTACCTTTTCTGGGGTAATAAAAGTAAAAAAAATCCTACTATCAAAATCATTTGTCTCACTACACAGGGTTGCTACGTGCACGATCGCAGCGCCCTCAATTTTTTTCATGACTTTATAAACAGACTACCATTTTGCTTAAATATGATGTATATGTCACGAACTCACGAATGTAATTTAGTGAATCGGCGCAAAAAAGATTTTATGCGATAGAATAGAAATCGGCATTTTTCTGTGGGCAAACACTTTGTAGTAGCCGCTACCCCCTCCCGACACGCTACACATTTTTACGTCCTGTGTTGTTATGTTATGTTTCACGGCGGGCTTTTCTGCAACTCGATACTCAGTGCCTATTTTGCATGAGACGGGGTTGCTTTAGTCCTGCCACCCCAGCTCCTCCAGGAAGCCCGTAAGATCTCGAACTCTGCCGCATACTTCCACTAGTATCCTTGGGCTTCATAGATATGTACTCCTTTTGTCTTTTGTCAGGAGGCATTCCAGTATCACATGAGTGCACAAGCGCTTATGTGATACTGGAATGAAGACTGAGGAGACAATCTCCTCAGTCTCCTTGCACGCCCTGCTCAGAGGACTGTCAGAATAACCCATGTTATATATGTAGGTGTTAAAGTTTCCATGTCCAGTAAGTATACCTACTATTTGCCTTAGAGTCTTGTTGCTTCAATCCATTTATTTTTAATATTAGGATCATACGGAAAACTAAAACAAAAATTACAGTATAATTCAATATAAAATTAATTATCATTTCTTCTGCTTTCAAAAACGATATATTTTTAATCGGGTAAAAAAATCGCATTGTACAGCACTATTCTCCATTTTTGGCCTCCAACAAATTGACCTTGAATTATACATCGATGGTTTTACAAGCACAGCAAATTTGGACTGTCAAATAAAAGCCGCAATGGAAAGCTATTACTGGACACATGACCGTTTTGATAAAAATAATACGGAGCAACAAAACTAATGATTTTTAATTCAAAATAGATATATCAAGGCAAATAGTTACTTACCGATGGAAGGAAATACCTCGACTATAAGATCCAACCATATTGGTGGTGTTTGAGCAGGTAATTATCGAACAATGCATCATTTTAAATTTCGTCCAACACCGATTGCGATCGAAAGTGGACTGAGCCTCGCGGCGAGCAATGAAGCTGTCTAGACGTCGTTTCGGCACGCGAAGTACGTACACTTTTTCCTTCTAACTAGATATATTTCTGTGCTTCCATCACTAAATTAAGATCGTGACGTCATGATACCTACACAAAATGTGGCATGCTCGGTCTCCATATAAATCGACGAACATTTTCTTTCTAACTAGATTTATTTCTGTGGTAAACGTTGGAAACCTACACACAGCGGACACACTGATCTTTTCGATCTCTGCTTATAATTTGTTTCTTTATTTAAAATTTTGAGTACTGTTTAAGTTTAACAGATCGGATAGCATTAAAAAAAATTAACATTTCTTTTTGATTATTACATAAAATATACAGTAAAAGCTCTTTATTCGCGCTTCCTTCATTCGCGTTTTCACTATTCGCGGATTGAAAAAATGCGACTCAAGTCCCATATTCGCGGCTTAAAATTTCCTTATTCGCGGATTGAATCGGTACATCGGTATATTCATATAATAATATGTCCCTAAATAAAAAGCATTCGACATCATTTGTCAGCAAGTGGACTAATAAAGAGATAAATAAAATAGACCTTATTACAACTACGCCTAGATTGTGTTTTCAAAAGCTAACGGCATTGTTTGTTTCGTTCGACGGTTCCTTTGAGATAAAGCCGCCTTCGCCGTGGTCGGTGTTTTTAAGTGTGAAAACAAATAGAAAATTTAGATAAAACACAACTTGTTACTCATAACATAAAGTATTTTATTGAATGCTACATCTACTTGCAATTCATAATGCTACATGCAATTCGACGTTCCGTTCTTTGATCAAAGCCGCATTGTGTGTTTTATTTTTCCATTCGTTACAAAAATTGTGATCGAGTAACACGTTTCTTTTGCTGTCTTCCTATTTTATAAATAATGTCGACTAAAAAAAATGAAAAACGAGTGGTGATGCGAAAAAAAACAGTGTTACCGCTTAAAGTGAAAACAGAAATGCTTGATCGTTTATGCTTGTTTAATTCATTGTCAGTGAAAATTGTTCGTGATCCAGCAATAGAAAAAATGGAAGTGGCATTATCATTATGGATTGAAGACCGAAACCAGAAAAGGGTGCCTCTGAGTGGTCCAATGGTCCGGGAGAAGGCAAAGCGACTTTACGCACATTTTAAAGAACCTGGTGGTAGTGGTGAATGTTCAGATGGAGGATTTCAAGCATCAGAAGGTTGGTTCAATAAATTTAAGGTGCGACAATCATTGCATAGCATTAAAATCGTTGGAGAAGCTGCATCTGCAGATACCGCTGCAGCAGAAAAATATCCAGAAGAATTTGCGAGCCTGGTAGCTGGTGGAGGATATACACCTGAGCAAGTATTTAATGCAGATGAAACTGCACTGTTTTGGAAGAGAATACCTAACAAAACATACATTTCTAAAAGCGAAAAGTCTGCCCCTGGATTTAAGGCAGCAAAAGATAGAGTTACACTGCTGCTTTGTTCTAATGCATCTGGAGATTGTGTTATTAAACCATTGATGCTTTATAGATCTTTAAATCGTCGTGCGTTAAAATATCAAAACAAGGACAACCTGCCAGTGTTTTGGCGTGCTAATTAGAAAGCGTGGGTTACAAGCGCTATTTTTTGTGACTGGTTCAGAAATTGTTTTGTTGCTGAAGTTGAAACTTATTTGAAATCAAAGAATTTAGACTTCAAAGCTCTTCTAGTTTTGGACAACGCACCAGGTCATCCTCGCGAACTTGAAACTATGCATCCAAACATAAAAGTGACATTTTTACCTCCCAATACGACGGCTTTGCTTCAACCTATGGACCAAGGAATAATCCAGACCTTTAAGCTCTATTACATAAGACGGACCTTTAAAATCATACTGGATAATATGGAATGTGAGCCTGATATGAATGTTATGGAATGCTGGAAGAAATTTGACATAGCAAAATGCATCGTAAACATACAAGGATCATTGCAAGAACTGAAGCCACGCACATTGAAATCATGCTGGAAAAAACTATGGCCGGTTCTGACTGCGGAAAATGAGGAAGAATCTGTGCAAATTAAAACTTTAACTGCAAACATTGCCGAAATTGCGAGTGGAATAGGACGAGATGGATTCGAACAAATAGAATCAAGTGATATTCAGGAGTTGCTCGAATCACAAGATGAAGATTTGACTGAAACTGACTTGGTGGAAATGTTAAATTCACAACCCATTGAGGAAGAGGCGTCAACAGGCACTGGAAACGTGACTAAATGTCACGAAAATCTGAAAAATCTTAGTGAAGGCATAAGAATGGCAAATGAGCTTTGTGATTTCTTTATGAAAATTGATCCATCAATGGAACGAAGTCTTATTTTTAAGAGGCAAATTGCTAGTGCCACTGCTGAATATCAGTGTGAACTGAGAGAGCTCTTAAAGTCTGCCAAGCAAGAAAAAATCACAAAAATTTTTTAACCATTGCCTAAACCTGAAGATATTATGTAACTCTGACTTGTATATATGGCCAAAAACTTAAATTAAACTGATTTTTATGTGTTTGCTTTTTTTATTTCGTCGCCTAGGAACGTATCCCCTATAATTCTATACTAAATGCCATCCTGTATTCGCGTTTTCTGTATTCGCGGCCTTTTTAAGGAACGTAACCCCCGCGAATAAGGAGCTTTTACTGTATTTAGTCGCACGTTTTCGCCCGAGACTGATAATATTAGGCGAAGATTCAGAACGGAACGCCGCTCTGACTCCATTTATGTGTCGCCGCAGGTGTTCGCGGAGATCCTGTCGATCCCGCGGGCGAACACGCCCATAGTGAAATTCTTCCACATCCCCACCGGCACCGACTGCGACCTGACCTTCAAGACTCCCCTGGGCGCGCAGAACAGCAAGCTGATAGCGGTCCTGCTGCACTCGGACCCGCGACTGGTCCCGCTCGCCGTCGCCGTCAAGTACTGGGCCCGGGCCCACGAGCTGTCCGGCACCGGCAAGCTCACCAACTACGCGCTCACGCTGCTCCTCGTGTTCTACCTGCAGCAGCCGCCGCTGCGAGCGCTGCCCCCCGTCTGCGACCTGCAGCGGGACCGCGCCCGGGACCTGGTCGTGGACTCCTGGAACGCCGGCTTCGACCCCGACGCCCTCGCCGCCCGCCCCCGCGCCCCCCCCGCCTCGCTGCTCGACCTGCTCGGCGGCTTCTTCCGCTTCTACGCGCAGTTCGACTTCGACGAGTGCGCCGTCTGCCCGTACGTGGGGCTGCCCTTGCGCAAGGAGGCCTTCCGGGACGCCGGCCTCCTGCCCCCGGAGTACGAGACGTACGGCGGCAACGTGGCCCGCGGGGTCGCGCCCCCGCTGCGCTGCGGCACGCCGCTGGTGGTGCAGGACCCCTTCGAGCAGTGCCACAACGTGGCCTCCGCGGTCTCGGCCCGCCACGCCGCCCTCCTGCGGGCCCACTTCCGGTTCGCGGCCGACGCCGCCCAGGCCGCCGCCGGGGGGGGGCCCGCCGCCGCCCGCTTCCTGCCCACCGTCCTGCTCCACGCGCCGAAGCTCGCGAGGGCCGAGACCCACCCCGAGTACAGGGTGAACCTGGTGCCCCGCGTGCCCGTGCCCGTCGCCGGCCCGGCCTGGAAGCGGCTCGTCCGGGACTCGGTGTTCGTCATATTCGAGGACATGCTCAAGATCGAGCTCGCCCGAGTCGAGGAGAAGCCGAACCCGGCCTCGAGGAAGGAGAAGGAGAGGTACGCCGGCGCGGTGACGAGGGCGATCTGGCGGCGGAAGCGGTTCTCGCGGCCGTCCGGCGCGATCGACCTCGGCTTCCGGGAGAAGCAGGCGAGGATCACCGACGAGATCGCGAGGCTGGACCGGCAGGTGTTGAACGTCGAGTTCCAGCTGCTGATGACGTTCCGGTCGGAGCCCCGGAGCGCCGCGGTCGCGATCAGACTCTGCGCCGGGGACGCGGTGGCCTTCAGGGAGTTCGGGAAGTTCTTCGTGTCGGTGATGCAGAGCTGGTTCGCGATCCTGCTGAAGACGCCCGCGCGGCCGGCGGGGGAGGACGAGGACCCGATCCGGACGCTGGACTCGAACGTGAAAGCCCTCGACTTGGCCTCGGAGGACGAGGAGGTCCCGGCGGTCCCGGCGGTCCCCGCCTCGAGTGTCGAGGTCCGCTCCGGTCCCGAAACGTGACCCGCGCGTTGCCCGCTCTCCGTCGCGTCCCGAAACCTGTTATAGTGAATACTGAATATTTTATTGATAAGCTTAAGACATTCACGTTTTTGTAGAAATTTATTTTCATTGAAAATCAGTCTTTTTATTTTTTTCCCGTGATCGAGCGAAAACCGTTAGAATGTTGACAACACTGAAGCGATTCTTACGATGTTATTGAATGAGAAAGTATTTAAAAAGTAATAATTGAAACTCAAATTAAATTTGATGTCACTAGCAATTTTCGGATAGTTGTCTATGATATTCATTCAAATTTTCTTTCTGACGTAGTAAAATTAAATTGAGTATCGAAAATTAATAAATATGTCATCATTTCGTGTGTCTTATAATATCTATCTTTCAAATTAGTTTGGATTTATTTGAATCGTAAATTTAAATTTTATTAAGTTACGTGTAAAGAAACGATGTTTAGTTTATATTTCAATATTAGTGATGGCCAACTTATTGGTTCCTCGTAATTTTAATGAGGAAGTATAAAAAAAGGTTTTAAAGTTAAACGGTTTTATTATAAACAGAATAATGGTGCAGATAAATGTACTTAAAGCTAAAAAAAAACAAAGTTAAACGGTTTTGTCGTAAACAGAAAAATATTGCAGATAAATGTACTAAAAGCTAAAAAATAAATGAATGGATACAGTCATGGGTGCCGATTGTGGAGATATCTAGGTTCACATAAAATCCTGACAATGCAATGTATTTATAGATAAATGTAAATACTTATAATAAAAGACGACGTTTTTGAAATATACAGATTTTAAACATATTATAAATTGATTATACTAAAATAAAATCGTGGGGCACATCCAATATCTATAATCGTCGATTAAAATGTTTGTTGTGAAGTATCACACCACAAGATAATTACAACGAATTTACCTTTACACACGTTTTAACAGACTATTTCAATTACTGAATTTGACCCACCACGAAAGAAACAAACGGGGTAAGGTACAAAATTTTATGTCACTAGATGGCAGCACAAATTGTTGGATCTAAAGGTCAATTCATGATGTTAAACCAAAGAGAATAGAATTGTCAGTGTTGTTATGGATCTGGTCATCGAGTATCATCGCCATCTTTCATTCATATCATATTACATGTAAAAATTAATTTATTTACTTGACATTGGCAGAATTGTGCGAAATGCGCAGATAAGCCATTAATTAAAAAAGAAGAAGTTATGGACCTGATAACTCGGATTAATATCGAGTTGAAATTTAATAGTTCGAGTTATTCAAACGCAACTCATTAATACAAAGTAATATTTGAATTAATTTCTTTTTTTTGTATAGAGTAAAATGTAAACTAACATAATGGAAGTAAAAGAGGTTTTTTTTTAATTTATGGAAATCAATTGGATTAATGCTGTGATATAATTAAAAGTGGCATTTAGCTACGGTATACAATAATATTACCGTCAAATAGTTTTTATAAATATAATAATTATGCCATAGTAGGTCTAGGAATTTTTCATCATAATATTTAACAAAAGTTCTGAAAACAATACAACTAGGTAAGTTAGTTTTATTGCTATTAGTTATTTGTTGAACTTACAAAAACAAAACTACATCAAGTCTCAATAATATTTTTATATTATGTATGGTGAATGAATGAAAAGGGTTTATTAATCAGCAACAAAAGTCATAAAAACGATAATTATAATAAAAAATCCGTTTATTATCTATATACTTACCCGATATATATCAAAAATACTAGGTATTCGTAGAAAATAGCATGAGTTCTGGGTAAAATGACGTTTGTGCAGGCAAAATTTAGGGCGAAAATAAACTAATTGGGCTTTTTTTGGGACTCAGGAAAAGTTAGGGCTAGTTTTAGTGCCAAAAAAATTAAGTTTAAAACTTGATTTAATTCATGAGAGAGTACCGCCATCTAGTGATATTTATTTTGATAGTTCTCCTGCTTCATTGTTGTAGAGCAAATAATCTGTAGCACAGAGATTCACGTTCACGCATGTCATCTTACGCCGGTATTCCATATCAGGCTCACAATATTTAAAATATTTCAAGCTTTTAAAGGATAACCAAAAAAAGTCGATTCAAAACTTTAAGATTTTTTTTTATTTCGGGTGCATTTTTTAGGCAACCACCGGCCATCCCGTTCCTCCACGTTGAGTGGAGACGGGGGGGAGGCTTTTCTTCGCCGAACGGAACGGCCCTATGTAGAGACAAACACGATAGTAAATCGCCTGCCGAAGTATGCCGTGGGTGAGGAGATGGGTGGCAGCTGGTTGCTGCTGTTGATACACGGCCTCTGAAGACCGTGATCCCCGCCTTCACAATACTAGGCTTGACCGGGCATGTAGCCTCTGCTCGGGTGGACCTATTTTGCTACCACTCTCGTGGGATTAAGATGATGAATGCAAAACAAAATCCTAAAATTTCTATAATGACGAGAGAAGAGAGACGAGGAACAAGGAAGTGAGTGGTGATGAGAGAGGAGAGACGAGGAACAAGGAGGTGAGAGTTGAGGAGAGGAGGGTTCTGTCACATAAGGCTGAAGGACAAAGGGTAGAGTCGAGAGGGAGTAAATCGGAGAGGTTGGATGAGGGGACGGAGAGTCAGGGCTCGGTGGGGGAATCTGAGTGCATAGACTGTGGACCCACAGTGGGATGAATTGGATCCTAATTTTGATCTTGAGGGAGATGTCATTATTGAGTGTGCGGAGAAGTTTGGAAAATTGGCAGTCGCACTTAGAAGAGAGACTAACGAGTATGGACATGGGAAGACTTAGCACTATAATAAGCTTGCGATGAGTAGTGTGGAGAATGGAATGGTAACTAATGGAAGTTAGCATAGAGAAAGTTTTTTAAAAGTTATGGAAATCGATAGAATTAATGTAATGAAGTAAAAAAATAAAATTAATAAAATCGGTTCATCCGTTCGGGAGCTATGATGCCACAGACACACACGCACACACACAGACACACAGAGACGTCAAACTTATAACGCCCCATCGTTTTTGCGTCGGGGATTAAAAACGAAAAAATACAAATAGAATATGAGTTGTTTATTGAGTATTGAAAACTAATTTACTTTTAAACTTGCAAGAAAACCGGAAAGGTTGACAACCGGAAAATCAAGAACGTACCGTAGCGACATCTAGTTTGATTTCGGGAACTAATGTTTTTTTAAATACTTCCTCCTTTGTGCTGCCATCTAGTGATTAGTGATAGAGTTTTTTAATACTGCTATCACTTTCTTTTTTTATAAACTGTATCGCTCGTCACTACATACGTTTATTTTATTTTGTATAAAATATATTTTTAAATTCATACGAAATGAAGTGAAGCGAGACAAAGAGAGGCATAGGTTAGTGAATGAAATGAAATGAGATTACGGGTGATAATCTTCATCCTATTAATATTATAAATGTGAAAGTTTCTTTATTTGGATGTTTAAATGTTTGTATGTCAATCACGCCAAAACTACTGAACGGATTTTGATGAAATTTGGTATACAGATAGGGTGTTAGGTGACTTAGATAATAGAATACTTTTTATTCCACTAAACATTTCCCTAGGGCCCACGCGGGCGAAGCCGCTGGCGAAAGCTAGTAGAGAATAATCTGAAAACCCTACCGCCATAGAAGAATAATATACTACGAGCCCCCCGCGTCTCCAAAATGCACCAAAGGAGTTAATCTCGCCTTGGTTCTTGATTTGTTGGTTTTGCTTTTTATATTTTACTAAAATAGGGAATTTCTTGCACTGCGTTCTCTCTCACAGTAGAATCATCACGTCACGAGTCACGATACCTTCCGTCTTGTAATAAACATTTTTCATAAACTGGAAACAAAAGTATCGACACTTTACAAAAAACCAATACCAAAAGTAAGTTTTATACTTTTTGTGTATCCTATTAGTAAGTACTCTGTGGTTCAGATTGGTACTCTTTGTAGGGATGGGCAAAAAGGGAAAAATATCGATATATATCGTATCGATATTTTTCAAACGACTCGATCTATATTGTCACAAATATATCGATATATTTATATATCAATATTTTTTGCGTAATAAGTGATTATCTATAAAATATGACAAAATACTTGTTATTTAAAAAAGGTACATAAAACCAAGAAAACAACCTCATTAACACAACAAAAATAACATTATTTAAACAAATCAGTATTTGTCTGATATTAACATCAGGAGCACTCTCAGTGATACCAACCAAACCAACAAGCGGTGTCATTGTCATAAAGAAACAAAAAAGACAAGCGGGTCATAGACTGTAATTCTAAACTCATACAGCCTACTGCCTACCTACTCACAGCAGAAGCTTAAAAAATATATTGATTATGATACGAATTTGATATCTGAAAATAAATATCCAAAGCCGTTATATCGCGGGATAAAATATCGCTGATTTATAGCTTTTTTTTTCAGTATAAATATCGATAGTTTTTGGCCAACCCTCTTTGTTTGTTTCTATGTTTGTCTGACAGTGCCGTGTGTGAGCCATTATGAGCGAGTTGTTTATTATAGGCTGAAATGTGATTTAATCTAAGGTACTAAATTGTGCGCAGATAAGCCATTATTAGAAAAATAAGATTTGTATTTTAACAATATTTTTTGGCCTTAAATATGGAGCCAGGTAACCTCTAACTTTGACATATGTTTTGTATTTATTAAAAAAAAATCAATTTTAAGCCCAGTTTGTTTGATTTCTAGAATTGTTACCTGATTACTTGGATTTGAATGGAAGTTTTGATGAACAAATCAGAAATATCATGCAAAACGTGAGGCTAACTAGACAAGAAGTAGACAATTTAAATTTATTGTATGTCCACTTGGAAGGGGCGCTTCAAACTTCATGGCCAGGTAACTATAAATTATTTCTCTAAAAACTGGGAAGGTATACCAAAAAGAGTGGGTTTTGTAACACTTTGTATATGTGAAATTTGCTGAGATAGCAATCTGCCAGTCTGAAATATTTTTTATCAAGTTCATTGTTGAACAACTAAAACATTATAACATAATGTATTTATACATTATACAATAACATCAGTGTTTATCTTAAAACTGAACAAATTGTTTTTTTCAGGGTGTAAAGTACTTCCATTTGGCTCCATAATAACTGGTTTAGGTATTAAAACAAGTGATGTTGATTGTTTCATTGAAATTCCTGGAGATAATTATAATAAGAATAATAGGAATAATCATGTGATAATAGCTAGAAATCTCCTCAGAAGACAACCTTGGTTATTTCAAAACCTTTTTGCTATAACATCTGCTAAAGTTCCTATACTGAAATTTTTCCACATACCTACACAAAGGCACTGTGATATCAACTTCAAAAGCAAAGCTGGAGTGAGAAATAGTAGTTTAATGGCATACTTGTTGCATATGGACAAAAGAGCAGTGACACTGGCAGTTATCATCAAATACTGGTCTAAAGTACACAACCTCACCGGAACTAACATGATGACCAGCTATGGACTAACAATACTAGTGATTTTTTATTTGCAACAAATAAATATTTTACCTTCTGTTTGTAAACTCCAAAAAGATAATGAAATGTATGCCATAGATGGTTGGAATACAGCATTCAGAGAAGATTTCAGTTTTATGTCAGATAACTGTCAGAGTGTGTATGAACTTTTAGGAGGTTTCTTTAAATTTTATAGCGCTATAAATTTTGAAGAGAACATAATCTCACCGTTTACTGGAAACTTGATACCACGAAATCTTTTCAAAAATTTAGATGATGTACCTAGTGTATTTGATATGTACAAAATTAATATAGGCAGTAAAGAATATGAAGCCCTCAGGATAGACACAAAAATGTGTATACAGGATCCTTTTGAACATAATAGGAACTGCACCATGTCAGTGTATCCAAGATTAGCTAACACAATAATATCACACTTCCTGTTAGCTGCTCAAATTTATGATGAAAACACCAAAGACTTTTATGTTATAGATCTTTTAGCTAGGACACCACCCCCAATTCATCCTATCAAGAATAAGCACAAAGTTGGCCATAATAACCATAATAAACCAAAATCCCAAAAGAAAACTATTGCACCCATAAATAATAGTAAAGTTACAAAACCTAATAAGAGATCTAAGAAAATCACTAACAATTTTGAAGTTTTATACAGAAACATGAAAATGCAGAGACAAAGAAAAGTCTAGATATTTTATTACATAATAAGGCAGATAGCAAATATTACCTCACAAATTGTATAAAGAGGTTTCTTAAATTGTAAGCCATGCTCGAACTTGTTCTGCTTGAAATCATATGTCTTAAGAGACTAGAAGGACACACTAAGCTTAAAAGGTAAAAAGACATAAATAATTGTCTATGATTTTTAATGACTATTAGTATAATACAATTGTTTGTAAGTATACTTTAATATACAATTTATGATTTGTTGAATGACAGTTTCTTGGTTTTCACCAGCCAAAACTTGTCAATGACTTCACCATCGAGGTCCACAGAAACCTGAAATATTGAGTAGTTATGGAATTTGATGTGAACATAACTCGTACATAGCTAATACCTGGTGCCACACCCCCACCATAGTTTTCACACTCGTCTTATAATCTATTCTATTTAAGTAGTGATTGTATTTTCAACTTAATTTTAAGTGATTAAGTACATGCACATACAAGTAATAAGTAACAGGTTAAAATTTAATAATGAAGTATTTAAAAAAAAAAATAGTTCCCGAAATCAAACTAGATGTTGCATGGTTCTTTCTTGATTTTTCGATGACAACCCTTCCGGTTTTCTTTCATGTTTAAAAGTAAATTAGATTTCAAAACTCAATAAACAACTCATTTTGTATTGATATCTAAGTTTCGAACTTTGCAAATATCTGTTTTTTATATGTTAGTTAAACGGAACGGAAATGACTATCGTTTTCTGCAACAATCAACTTTTGCTAGATTCGCCATCTAGTGGAGGTGCTTTTTTTTAAATACTTCGTCATTTTAACTTTCTATTTATTGCTAATTTGTGTGTTTACACCAACTAAATCACTTAAGATTAAGTTGAAAATCTACTTAATAACGTGTAAACCAGCTTAATGACCGATTTACACAGAATAAGTTGATAAGTGGTTAACTTGATTTTAAGTGATTAATTTGTGGTTACATGCATTTAATCACTTATAATTAAGTTAACTACATATGAACTTGACACATGTAAACCAGCCATAAGGGTCGGTGCAATTCTAAGGGAAGATCTGTCAACTATCTTACGAAAGTTCATTATGGATTCTGTTGATTGTGTAAAATTGAAGGTCACATAATAATTAACAGTTCTGACCGACTAAACGCGCCCATGGGACCACAACTAGAGATGGCGGGAGACTATATGTACCTATGCAGAATAACTCATGCGATGTTATTTTTATAAAGGTCAGTTCTTTTTATCGATAATAGTGTAAAAGACTAAAGTATGTTTACGTCTTGACAATATTTTACCTGTTCCACATTGATATGAGTTTTGTTGAACGCTTTTAGTTTTGTGTAGCCATAGTCTTGAGAATGGAAGGCGGACCATTCGCGTGGGTTACCTGAACATTAAGGGTTCGTTGGCAGCACAGCAATTTATACATAAGCGGTTAATTGATAACAAATATACACACTTACATTTAAAATAAGAAAATTATATTTTAAGAAATTTGTTAAATAAATACATTGCAATGTATTAATAAAATACTTTTAATTCACTTCCTCTACCCTAACAGGCCGCTGCCGTTCTCTTTCATGGAGGAAGAATATATAATTTTGATAAATCATATGAAACATTACCTCGATAGCTCCGGCAATTATCTTATATTCCATATGTAATTAGGTACAACGAATAATAATAAAACAATAAAGTTAAAAGAGAGCAAAGCAAATCTACTAAATCTTGTTTCAATATGCATAGGGTGTAAAATTCAACGCAGTGTTTGTATCACTCACGGTGGGGTTATAATTATAATTATTGTAGTGATGAATCGCCTCATGGCGGGATACTTGAATCTCTGATTAGTCGACATTTCAATTCCATCTGTTCAGATGTATGTCAGTGAGTGAGTGAAATAGTTAAATCAATATTCATAAAGGAAATCGTAAACTATTAAGAAACGCCAAACGAAAGGGTTGAATTGAATTCTAACTGCAATCTTTAGAAGAGTTTAACAGTGTTTTGTGATCAGCCCCCTAATTGTCTAATTTTAAATCTATTGCAATCGCTTTCAGTTTGAAAGGTCAGTCAGGAAGGTCTTTCAGTCAGGAAGGGGAACTTCTCAACATTATACAGTCTTTGAATAACTCAAATTCTTGCGGATATGATGAAATATCAACGAAGGTTCTAAAATTCTGTAAATATGAGTTAACACATATTTTAACGTTTTTGATAAATTTATCATTCGAAACCGGGTGCTTCCCTGATGCTCTCAAATTCTCGATTGTTAAACCCATCTATAAAAAAAAAGATAAGCAAACTGTGGAGAACTATCGCCCGGTTACATTAATACCTGTAATATCAAAAATATTCGAGAAGGCTATGAAAAAAAGATTAGTGAGTTTTTATTCGAAGTTCAACTTAATAACATCAGAACAATATGGCTTTCAGAAAGGAAAATCAACTTCTCTTGCGTGCTTTAATTTAGTCAAAAATGTTATCTCGTCTCTAGATAAAAAAGAGCGTACTACAGTGCTGTTTTTCGATATGTCCAAGGCATTCGATTTTGTAGTGCATGATGTATTATTGGACAAGCTGGAAAAGTATGGAATCCGTGGAAACTGTCTGTCGTGGTTGAAAACATATCTGAATGATAGGTGTCAATGCGTGGAAGTTAATAGAGTAAGACAGGTGAACGATGAATATGTGGCTGTAGCAGATCGATCAAATTATAAAATTAATAAATTCGGAGTACCACAGGGGAGCGTACTGGGACCGATATTGTTTTTGTTTTATGTCAATGACTTGCCAAAAGAGACTAAGAACCAATGTTTTATGTTTGCTGATGATATTTCTATTATTATTAAATCTAATCCTTTTGACGACTTAGAGTATTATGAAAATGACATTAATGAAACAATCAATAATATAATTCAATATCTTAATGCCCATAATTTGAATGTTAATTTATGTAAAACTAATTATGTTAATTTTAAGATAAAAGGACGCTTAGCTTATAATCTCAATGTGAAGCATAACGACAGAATCATTGAAAGATCTGACAGTGTGACATTTTTGGGAATATTATTAAATGAAAACCTGAACTTCACTACCCATGTTCAGAGGGTCTGTAATAAAATAAATAGGTACGTTTATGTGCTAAGACGGTTAACTTTAAAAGTGTCTCTTAAGGTGGCATTGTCTGCTTATTATGGTTATATCGCATCAAATATATCTTATGGACTCCTTCTGTGGGGCAATAGTACAGATGCAAATAAAGTGTTTATTTCCCAAAAGAAATGCATAAGAGCTATATGTGGTAAAGGTCCATTTGATACATGTAAACCACTGTTTCAAAAATTGGGTGTATTAACCCTGCCCAGTATGTACATTTTAGAAATTTTTAAATTTGTAAAGCAACACCCCGATTTATTTAAAAGAGCCAAAGACATGTACCCTAGAAACACTAGAGATAGTGACAGACTTGTTTTGGAATACAAACCAAAGACTTCATTAAGTCAAAAAAGTTGTTATTGCATGTGCGTCAAGGTTTATAATAAGATTCCTGAACAATATAAGAATGGATCTGAGAGCTTAATGACAAAAAGACTGCGAGAATGGCTCGTGAAAAAATGTTATTATAATATAAACACATTCCTTAAAACAGATAATTTTGCTTGTTAATTATTATTAACTGAATAGCGATAGTAATAGTTTTTAAGATCTTGTAATACCTATTCTTAGCAAATAAATACTTTGAATACTTTGACTTTGACTTTGAAAGGTGTTGCACAACCATTGCTTGTTTCTGAAGACAGTTGAAAAAAAGTATTTGTATTATGCAGCAATGGTTGTGCAAAACCTTTCAAACTGAAAGCGATTGCAATAGATTTAAAATTAGACAATTAGGGGGCTGATCATCCAAATCACTATTCGTTTTAAAAGCGATTGCTACTTTAAACGTTTTTAACGTTTGTATCGATATCGACATAGCGATTAAGCTTCGCTATCACAATTGCTACAAATTGGAAAGGGATCGCGAGATTTTATAATTAGACGATTATGTCGCTCGGTGGCGTAGTAGGTGGCGGGATGGGTGGCCAAAAAAAATATTATCTCTAGTTACTCTGTGCTTCGGAAGGCACGTAAAGCCGTTGTCTCGGCTGCATTTGCAGGACGTTAATACCCCTCCAATGTCAGCCAGCGTGGAGGGTCTTGAGCTTTCCTCCTTAGCCATCCATAAGGAAGGCAGTGGGATTGTAAAAAAGGCTGATGATGACGATGAATCAGGCCACAACAGTGCGCTGTACTGTATGTGTGTGTGTGTGTGCGTGTGTGTGTGTGTGTGTGTGTTTGTGCGTGTGTGTGTGCGTGTGTGTGTGTGCGTGCGTGCGTGTGTGTGTGTGTGTGTGCGTGCGTGTGTGTGTGTGTGTGTGTGTATGTGTGTACTCACGGCGGAAGTGGTCGCGCCCCTCGCGGCACCCCGCGGAGCCGGTGACCAGGTGCACGGGCGCGCTGCGCAACACAACCACACGCTGTAGCCACTACTCCGAATATGTTATATATTCGTCTAATATCGAAATTCTAAGCACGGCATTGGAAGGCCACTGCTGTGGTGGCCCTATAAAGAAACTCGTTTTTCGATAACTTATGCCTCTGATGCACGCACAATCAAGAAATTTTAACAAAATCATTAGAACGATTCGAAATTTCAAATAGAATAAATAAACTAGCAAGCTTGTTTCTCAAGTAGAATTCTTATATATAAGACAATAAGGTAGGTACTTCACTATAAAACAAATTTTATGTTTAACAAACTAGGTAAGTTCAGTCAACAACAGCATGCCAGTTTAAACAAAACTGTCTCCATTTGAATCTAAACCTTAATGCACTGTGAAATACCCACAATGTAGGTATTGAGGTTTAATAATCAAATCACTTGAAGAACTTTGACACAATGTTACCTGATGTCCAGCCGCGTGTGTAGCTATTTTATTTTCAGTGACAAAAATCCTTGGCGTTACGAATGGTTTTCTAAATATTAGTTTGGGGAAAGTCTTTTCGCATATATATAAAATCTTTCAGGTATACCATTTGCATCTGGCTGGTTTCGGTATCAGTAAAAGTTTGAATTTTAAAATAGATATCTCCCAATTCAAATTAAATGTGTGATTTTAATTTGTTTTTCTCACTGTCAAAATGAGTGAATCTAATGAAAAAAATCGATACATTTTAAAATTTTATTACAGAAAATATATTTTATTTTATGAACCTAGTGCAGCTTCTGTGAGATTAGCACAAATTTAGTTTAAGCGTTTTTCAGTTCAAAATTTTAATGTCAGAGATGCACGTCGCTCCTGTCGCCCTGTTACGGATAAAATGGATGCTATTTTTCAAAAAGCGGTAGTTTCGTTAACGGGGGATTGACCACAAAACAGTTTTGGCGGATTTTAAAAAAGCTGGTTACACAAAAATCTGGATATTTGGGTACCCCATGAACTCACTAAAGAAACCTGGGATCATGGCAGCTAATGTAAATAAACTTAAAAAAAAAACGCCTTGAATTATCATTTAAAATGCGAAGAAACTTTTTTCTAACTTATTACACGTAAACATCATTCATACATACTACTCGTTCGAGTTAACAAGACACCAGCCCTGCGATTCTGTAAAAATCCAGACCCGAATTCGAATTCACTCATGTGTCCGAATTCACGTCATTTAGTGTAAAAATTCTATTGACTACATTTTTTTTTTGTATAAAAATACAAAACAAAATTGATCGAATACACGTGTCTCAGATATTCTATTCCGATATCATTTCGAAACTCACTTCACTTATGCTACGAAACGTTATTACCAATTCAAGGTTGAGCGTATGCCTCTTTTTGAAGTCAATTCGGACACCTGAGAGAATTCGAATTCGGGTTTGGAGTTTTACAGAATCGCAGGGCAGGTTCGGAACTTGATATCCCCCGCACTTCCCCGCCGTCGTCTTTCAGTAGCGACAACATAACAGTTAGCGTTTTATACGCGTCTTTGCGCTATTATATTTTCGGCAGAATTATATTTTTTTGGTAGTAGGTAATAATAAAAATTATTTTGCTGCTATTTTTATTAGATTTTTGTTAAGGTGACAATGAAATTGATAGTTTGACACAGGAAAAAATATAGTAACGTTCGAGCGTAAAAATCAGTAGAGTTACCCTAGAGCACGTTAGAGAGAAGATCACGATAAACATCTATAAACTTTCAACTTTCGCGTTGCATTATATTAGATTGTTTGAAACGGGTATTAACGCGATAGATTGATAGTTAGGTTTTACACCTACCTATAATCCCGACGTTTCGACCGGGTCACAGGCCGTGTAACCCGGTCGTACAATCTAATGATAAACATGTTTCGCGCATGTGATATTAAAACTGAAAGGGAGCATAGTGAAACGGTCCGAAGAAAGATTGTTTATTGCTTTAATTAACTTACGTGTCAGTAGAAAGAGACAGATATTTTATTGCGATCTTCCCTCTCTTTCTTACAGAGTTACATTTCCACTTACACGTAGTCAATGTCTTCCATACTTTAGTATAGTAACGCTATTAATCATAAAGTTTGCCGATTTGTTCAGTTCTTTTATCTAAAAGGTACAACTCTTTCGGTCGGTTGCACAAACGTCCATTAAGGTTTAATGACGTCTTTAAGCTCTAATGAATGTTAGATTTGTGTGGGTAATGTCGCCTTAAACTAATGATAATTTTAATGGATAATTGTGCAACTGGCTGTTTGACTTTTGTCCTAAAATTCGTTAAATTAGTGCCATAGTTAAAAGTTTTACACATGTTTAGTGTATGTTCACATTTCCACTCGGAATAAATAAAAAACGTTAATGCTTATAATATTTATTTATTACAATAAGAACAAATAGCTAACCTAAACCTAACTTCTGATATGGTTTTTAATTTTTATACTTATCATTTATCTAATTTCAATTTCAGTGTAATTATTTTATATTGATTTGCTTCATGCTGATTTTAATATACACACATACAGTTGTAATTTAAATCACAAATTATCACAATATTAGATAAGAACCAATCGGCAAAATGGTCACTTACCTAATCAAATATGGATACAAAATGGTAACTTAGTACTTATGGATATAAAATAGTAACTTTTTTAATGCCATTCGTTACACAAACAAAAGACGTGTAAATTTTAAAATATCCTATTAAGTGAGACTCCCGTCGGACATGTCTATGTACCTGCCAGTGTACATAGTTCAGAGATTGTAAGGTCCATGCAATTCTTTTACTATCCAAAACCTGTCTATGACGTCGGCCTCTCGTGCCGACAACGTTACATTCTCAACGGAAACCTGGAAAAAGAATAAACTTTCAAGAAAGCAGTGAAAACAAACTGATGAAGTCTGTTATATTAAAGTTTTCACTATTCGAAGCAACTAATGAAGGTCAGAGCAGTGATTTCTCGTTGGTGTTCATTGAATCGTAACCCCAAACAATTAACAAATGCAACTTGATGTCCAACACATAAGCATGCATAAAGCTAATCATTAACTAATTGTGATCAAAACAAAAAAATCTTAAATTAAATGTATGGTATGAATGAGTTCGAGTCGAATAAATATAACATAGAATAGGGATGACCACTGAGTAAAAAAAGAAATTCTATTTAGTCCGTCAGTCAGATAATAAAAGAATATTAGATACGTTAATTATTTTACTTCAATTTAACAAGAAATAGCTTAGATAACAGGCATTAAAGTTGAGGAGTGGGGGCTCGTTACGTCACAGTTTTGTAGAAAATGTGACATTTTAACTCAATGTACGATACGTAATTAAATGATTATGAAAAGAGTACGTGTTTAATATATTTCAACAAACACAAATTAGTCGTCGTCTATATTATTGTATTGTTACACACCATCTACCACCACAAAGGTAATTAGATTACCAATATCAAAATTTTAACATTGTGCTAGATGCGTATAAGATTTAAACTCAATAATATTTCGCGATGTACTGGGTGTCATTACACGTTGATTTATAAGGTCCTTTGTCAAATAAGGCCCACTGCTTTTAACTGTTTGGAGTACTAGAAAGCCAACTAAAATATGTCCCAATACAGTCTCTTAAGGATGATAGAATGTAATATGAAGTTAATTCAGTTGGGTTTTAGCACCGGAGCGGACAAAAAAAATGGGCCTTATTAGGCGACAGTATCTTATCCGGTAAATTTTGCATGTTCACAATGTTAATTATAAATATTAACTTTTATATATTTCCAGGGATAGGATTCAAGCCAGTAACGATTTCTGCTATAACCGAACACATTTCGGTCACCCGAGACAGGAATTAATATAATATTACCTGTTCCATGTATATGTGCGTGCGATTGTACGCTATGAACCGAGTGTATCCGTAGTCGCTGGAGCGGAACGCGGACCACGGCTGGGGGTTCTCTGTTACATAACACAATTATATCGCACACAACATCAAATACTCTACATGACATAATATTAAAAATAAATTGCAAAATTAGAGATATAGAAGTAGTAATCTGACGTGATGTCTACTGGAGAGGTTGAACTGACGTACGCACAGCAATATATATACAGTTTATCACGAAACGCCAAACTTCTGTAAGCAATTTTGATTTCAACTTCGAACAGAGAAATTTGGATCTTACCTTGAACAAGATTTCAAAATCGATCGATTTTATATATTTGGCTATCACCAAAAATGTATAGCCAATAATATAGATATATAGAAAAAATGTACTAATGGCTCATTAGACGCAATAGCGTACAAAAACTTATTTAATAGTAAATAAGTTGGAGAGTATCATACGGATCGTGTTGCCCTATCACTTATTTTTTATTAGAATTTCTCCTCACTCGGTCTCTGTATGAATGCCGCGCTTTAGTTATGAGCTTGACGCTTTAGTGAAGTTTGTATTGTAAGATATATAAAAATCTTTGAATGTACATATGTCGCCGTCAACTGGTTAAAACAGCTCTTCAATTGGACGGTTAAACGTCCATCCCGATCATAAACATCCAAGAAAATTACAAACGCGGCCGAAAACAGGTCATGCAATAGAATGACGCCATTTAATCAAAGAGCTAGTCGTTTAATCGAACGGCTGTTTTAACAAAGTGGCTGTGACTTATGTATAATATAGACAATAGGGTTGCCAACCGTCCCGACCTTTCCGGGACATTCTCAATTTCAAGGATGTTGTCCTGCGTCCCGATTTTTGATGACACTCAACAGTTCCATTTGCGCCTTAGGTATCCATACGCATATCCCGGCGCGATGCAAACCGTATCCTAATTGTCTATTTTTATTTTTCCTATTATTTACTTTGAACTGAAGTCCGATTACATCTGATGACCGTTCGAATGTCCCGAATTTTGTATCTCGAAAGGTGGCAACCCTGATAGACAATGTAATATGAAGTGACTCACTGACGAAGTGGTCGGTTTGTTCCCTGCAGCCCGCGGAGCCCGTCACCACGTGCACGGGCGCGCTGCAACACTCCTCGTGTTATATTGTATGTCATTATATATCAGTTCATATATTACATATTATCTTTTTTGTACTGACAACACTAGATTTTTGTGTAACAAACCATCTTTAAAATGGAATATCTATACGAGGTTTTAACTATAGAACAGAGACATAGCTACAGCAGCGTGTAAGCAGAAATGTGCCTCGGTTAGAGAGAACAATATTTGCCCTTGTAGCATTATGTTTGAGTAATGAATTTTTCTTCATTTTAATTGACCGAATATCCATATTTTTTGAGGCTTTATCTTTTCGTATATTTGATGTTATATGACCAATACGAATAGATATATTTTTATTGGCAATACAAATAGATATATTTTATTCAAAGCTAAGCAAGAGCACTACAAAAAAACATGAGATTAAATGCCAACACCATCTATTGACAGTAAAACCAAAGAAACCATCACATCGCAAATGAGGAAATATTAAAAAAAAATTAGTTCCCGAAATCAAACTAGATGTCGCTACGGTACTTTCATGATTTCTCCATGACAACCCTTTCTTTCATATATAAAAATAAATTAATTTTCATAACAATAAAGAACTGATATTCTAATTGTACTTTTTCGTATTTGTATTGATATCTTAGTTCCAAACTTTGCAATTTTTTTTTTTTTTAATGTTAGTTAAAAGAAACGGAAATAGCTATCTTTGGTCCATTAGTATCATACAAAAATTAACTTTTGCTAGAGTCGCCATCTAGTGGAGGTGCTTTTTAGAGCTTTCATATTTTTCTTAAAATACTTCCTCTTTAAACAACTAATACTATAATAACTGTAGGTACTTTACTGCTTAGATAAACTAGACGATAGGAAAGTAAACCACTCTTTTATGTTCGATATTGAAATTAAACTGTCCAAGCGCGAGTCGGACTCGCGTATTAAGGGTTCCGTAACGAAAACGAACAAAAATTCCACGTTTGCTGTATGGGAGCCCGTTAAAAAAATATAATTTATTCTGGTTTGTTGTTGATGCGGCAACATAAATACAGCATCTGTGTTAATTTCAACTTTCTAACTTTAGCGATTCTTTATGTAAAGCCTGATGACCAGAGGTCGGAATTAGGTAGAGTTATTTATGTACTTGCATCGAAATGTTGATATTAATGTGGACCTTCCCGGGATTTATCCTTTATTTCTTCTTTCTTTATTTCTTTCTTACATTGATGTAAGTTTGGCAACGTCGTGCGTGCAGTAGTTTAAATTGTGTAAAAGTAAATAACTTTTTATTTAAAAAAATCACGAGATTTTTTTCTGCTCTTTAAAATTAATCTCGGGATTTGAGGCATATCCACTTTATTCTTTCGCTGTTTGAAATAAGTGTAAGTACATGAATAACTCTACCTAATTCCGACCACTACTGATGACAGATGGACGGACAGATACCGAAGTCTTAATGTGAAGAGTTCCCGTTTTACTGTTGCATTCGGAACCCTAAAAAGGAAAACATTTCACTTTTTTGAAATCGGTATCATTTTACCCCCAAATATTTTAAGCTTCCCGCCAAGTATTCCTATTGAGGATAATGACACTTATTAATCAGTACTATAAGTAACATATTTGTTAAGAAAAGTTATTCGCAATGTACAAACAACGTTGACGTTTGTACGAGTCTCTTGACACTATTCTTTTTCTGTGGAATGATTACTATTTAGTAATATGTTATCATTGCAATTACGAGTATTATACAGCCCATTGCACAAACTTGCATTAAAATTGTCGTAAGTATAAAGCGACATTAAGCGATACAAATTGCAAATTAAGAACATTCAAACAATGATATATATAAACAAGGTTTAGAGTCAGAGTCAATTTATGCTGAAATTGCAATTTTAATATCAGTCCAAATTCATATTACACAGAGAATAAGTAAATCTACTACCTTCTAGAAGTACATATGACAACCGTAGAACCTCGTACTAGATAAATCTTTGCTAAGACTCTGTTTATTAATATGAATATGAATTATTTAAATTTACTCCGACGCTAAACCTTGTTTATTAATGTGTCCCATCACCCACATAATAATTTATTCTTTACATCTTTAGTCATGCAAAGGTGGTAATTTGTTATTTGCACACATGTAAGAAAAAAAGTAATGTACTTAAAAATAAATAAGTATAAAAATATTTACCTTTAAATAAATTCTGGTTGCTGTTAGTGAAATATATTACGGATATGTTCAAACACACACACACACTTGTTTAGTAAATACCGTTGTGTTAAAAATTACACACAAATTTCAATTGGAAGCAGAGAAAAGGCAATAATAATTTGGCAATTAAAAACAGGCTTTTAGTTAGAAAGTTATTCAGTTAGTGATTAGGCAGCAAATATATGTTTAAATAAATTAATAAAATAAATAAAAAATGTTAATTTCTAGAAAGACGACGGCGATTAGTAAAGTATCAATTAGTTAATAAATAAACAATAATTAAAGGAGTGTTGTATATATATATCACATCGATATTTGTCGATATCCATTAACATTTATAATAGCCGATAATGCATTACAAATACGATTCGATTTAGATTATGTTTTGTTAAGTTAATCATTGTGACTACTTTAGTTTTTTCCTTCATCGATAGACGTCAATAGTGTTGCAAACTAAATTTATCGATAGCTTTTTCTTTCACGTATCTGCTCGCTTGCCCCGTGTTTTAAATAGTGGTTATCATGTAAATGGGCAAGCGAGTGGGTATTTACTTATAGTGGGTATTTATTTATTTATTAAGATACAAAATAGGATATAATTAATACAATACATAACTTGTTATTCATCTTGCAAAATCCAATTATACCCAATAATATGTATCTCTAGCATGATTAAAGTGGAGCAGCATTTAAACTAATATTATGACATTATGGTATAGCATTGACATCCCCACTGCAGGGCCTCAGGCCTTCCTTATGGATGGTTTAGGAGTATGGGCCATGACCCTCCACGCTGGCCCAATGCGGATTGGAGGATATTAACGACTGCAAATGCAGCCGGGACCGACGTTTTTACGTGCTTACCGAAACACGGAGTAGCTCGAGATAATAATTTTTGGTCACCCATCCAGTGACCGACCCTTGCGAGAGTTGCTTAACAACTACGATCGCGGGCCGCGGCGCTTATCCACTACGCCACCGAGCTACACATATATGCAACAACGTGATATCACATTGAACAAGAAATAAAATTAAAATATTTTTTAAATAAAAAGGGGCCTTCATATGTTCTTTTTTTTTTGTAGGTCATAAACAATTTTCTCTATCAGAAAGTCCTAAACTACAAAAAGACCTTGTGTAGTGTTTCATAATTATCAAGGTAATACGGTATTCTACTCAGCTTGAAATAATACTTGTGTTTATATCAATTTAAAAAGCCATAAGACAAATATATCGGAAAAATAAACACATTGTTTTGTCTTCTAAGACAACTGCCTTAAACCCGTCAAAACGACTGTCCATCATATTCATGACGTCATTGCGATATGTACACAGAACAGATGCACAGAGCAGAAGTTTAAAAGATGTCAGTAAAAATAAATAAATAAAATAAAATAAAACAAGGACAATGCCATCTAACGATCGATTACGAAATGAAAAGATATAGATAAGCCAAGGACAGCGCCATCTAGGGATTCGATTTATACAATTAATAGTAATTACTGTATGCCTATCCGGCAGCTCTAAAACATGTGAAAATACAATGGGCACTGACCGCGGGTCCCGGTAGGGCTCCTCTGTCCCGTTGTAGACGCGCGCGTCGTACAGCGGCCACGTGCGCTCGTACGAGTGCTCGTGCGCCCACAGCGCCACGTCCACGCCGTACTGCAGCAGCAGCGGCTCCAGCGCTGCGGGGCGCGTATCAAACGGACAACGCTACAGTGCACCGAGGCCGACTAGGGCGTTCTCTTGAGGCACTTTCATTTCATTTAATTATTGTTAAGCGGCGATGTAAATTGATGACAGATTTTCAAAAATTTATGTTTTGGATTGCCAAATGGACTAGGTGGTTAGATTTTATGGAAGTGGAATATATGCTCTTCATCAAATATCTAAATTAGATTAAGATGATACGATCATTTTAGCCGAAATAATTTTTATTTTTCAAAAAATAGAACAGGCTTAAAACTTTCAAAATTGAGAAATGATAGTTATCTTAAAAGAAATTTAACCACCTCAGTCCATTAGACCATCCAATAAATATTTTTTTGAGAATCTTACAACAATTTGCGTAAAATATTTTTATTTTGGTTCCATTAAAAAAAAAAAAGTATAACGAACAGATTCCAATAGTTTCATAGCATTCCACCATGCGGTAGTGTGGTGCGAATCTCCTCTAACGTCAATGTCAAAGTGACAGCACGAGCTGCCTGACAGATACTCGTGATGCCCGCAATACAATCGATAAATATCAGTAGACTCTACTATGTATGTCGGCACATGACAGTATGGATACTGACCGAACAGTCCGAGGAAGCCGGTGCGCGTGTACTCGACGCTGCAGTCGACGTCGTCGGAGTTGCTGCAGTACATTGGCCGGTGGCCGAACACGATCACCCACGGACGGACGCGTCTGCGGAATGACACGTTACATTACACCATCATTCCTACGTACACCTTCAGTCGAGTATTATCTTCTGTTTGAAAAGCACCTTGTGATTTTATTAACATTCAGGGTTCGGAGTGATAATCATAATTAATAACTATAAAACATTACATTACACTCTTCTTGTTCTTAAGGACATTTTATTAATGGAGAATCATTTTAAAAAAATATCAGATATTGTTTGTCTGATAGAGGTCCATCCATTACTCACGTGATCGTTAAAAATTACGAAATATCATAAGGGACCCACGTCATTTATCACGTGTATTTATCTTTTCCTCAACCGCGCGATTACTACACCGAAAAGCGGCATCAAATACTAAGTTTTTTTTAAATACACATGACTTGGGTGGAGAGGGGAAGCTAGTCTTAAACCTCAGCATGTCTCAACAAAAGGGAAGGAGGATTAAAAAGTTGAAAAAACACAAAAAATAAAAAATGAACGGCTCCTAGGGTAAATTGTCTAGGATGGATGTACAAAAAAAAAAATATTTAAAAGGCTCTTGAGAAGTACGAACCCTGTTAACATTTATTCGATGACCCTTTCGAAAGTTCGATCTGTTTATATGTTAAATGTTAATCGCGTACCGTCAAAGTAGGTGTCATATATTTAATTTTAAATAGTATTATATATTTGATGAATTTTACATTCACAATGCTATACTGGAAAATATTATCAATTTAAAATGCTTCAAAAATCTTTGTCCCTGGTACTCTAAGTATTATTTAACCATTTTGCATTAATAACATTTTGTATTTTATATTTATATCATCAAAAGCTAACCTGTGTTAATATTATTTCATAATACCGGTGTAGAGAGTAAACGAAAATAAATATTTATATTTTTTTTTCTGGTAGTGTTTAATAATAATTATACAATTACCGATAAGCACACGTATCGTTTTATGCATACATAAACGACATTAGTTTTAGATGGGCTTGACGTCACAGCGACGCCATGACAGAAGATGGTATATTCGCGGGAAATTATGAAAATAAGGTTTATTTAAGGTTTTTTTGATATTTTTTAGACATATTTAATGCATATCTTATATAAACTAGAATTATTTTCAAAAAGTCGTCTACACCCCTATTGTCGCAATACTAAAGTGAGATAATAAACATACCTCGATAAATCGCTTGAGTTAGGATAGTGATATTATTTAATGCGTTATAGTTGTTTGGAATATTGATAAAAATAATAATGACCTATTCACATCCATGTTGGCGATGGTTAGATCCCTCTTCAGCCACTCGTACTGCTCCACCATCAGCTTGATGCCGTACTCCGTGAAGTAGTAGACCTCCGTGGATATGGACACGAAGTGTATGGGGCCCACGTCGAAGCTATAGTACAGGTTGGAGTTCGGCCCGGGCATCGTGAACCGAGATGAGTAGTGGCTGAAGTTGCTGCGGAAGAATCAAATGAACTCGAAATATGGTCAAGTTTCCTTCTGGTTAATTAACACAAAACTTTAGCAACCGTCGTAATCGGATGGGTGACCAAAATATAACCTAGAACTCTTAAATGAGAGATTATATTTATATACCTATAATCTAATATAAGTAATATACAAACATTATAAATACAAGAAGAAGTCCGTCTGTGATGTACAATGAAAAATAAAAACCGACAATAGTAAGATGACTTCATTCTAAATCCAATATGGCAGACTACTCAAGATGGCGGATGGCTAGTATATAAGCACTTTAAATATTATAAAATTAAATTGAGCTTTCACAACACAACATACAAAAAGCAGTCTACAAAAATATAAACTGAACAAAACACTGGATCTGGCGAAATCCACTAGGACAACGCGATTATTTATAAAGAAGAATATGCGCAAATAGTGTAGGTTCTTAAGGTAAGTACGACAAGACATAATTATTAAGAATGCATCGAGTATTTAACTTGTAAAAAGTGTCCTATACTGAAATCACCTTTGAATATAGATCCCTAATTGAGTCAACTATCAAACGGTTTCATCGCGTTTGTATTTAGTTTTAGACGAAGGTGTTGATTGTCTTTTTTTAATTAAAAGTATTCTTCAAAACCAATACTATTGGATACATTACAATTTTTTTATAACATTTTCATTATTTAAAAATACATTTGACTTATTTATTTATTTACCCCTAGCTACCGTAATCTACTACCAGTTCCAACTTTGGGAATTTCGTCTGAGAAAAACTGTTCGGCTGAAACAAAATCCGACAAGGAAAAGTGAATGATTTTTGATTTAATATTTAAAGAATGACCTAACTTTGAATGAAGTATCTTTTGGTTTCGCCAGTTCTTCTCAGACAAGACAAGGATGGAATAAAATGTATGCTCACTATGCGCTCTCGTGGTTGCCGGGGCAGGTCATGTAGGGCACGCGCGCGGCCAGCGGCTGCAGCAGGCGCATGAAGGCGTCCCCCACGCGGCCCTCGCGCTCCTGCATGTCGTACGCGAAGTCGCCCACGTGCAGGATCAGGTCGTAGCGGCCCTCCGCCACCTCCCGGCGCAGGAACGGCAGGGACTGAGCGGCACGACCAAATACTTTTTACTTATCTAAACTAATATATTATTGCTACGATGAGTTATACAGATATTCAAATATTAACAGAATTGAAAAGAATGGCTTCGGACATTCCCTCCCGATCTGGAATAATTGCAGACCCTCGCGATGACATACGAAATTAGCTACTGAGTCTAAATAAGCATAACAGATTTAAAACTCAACTAAGCTTTGCACAAACTAAAAATATGCAAATGACAAGTGTATATCGATACGAATGATTGTCAATATACCTTGGAGCCGTTGAGCCCCATGTCACCGTAGATGGCGATGCGCACCGGCCAGTCCTCGCCCGCGGGCGGCGTCTTGAACGTGAACTGCTCCGACCAGCCATCCTCTGACCCCACCTGATACACTGTAACAAGGTCATTCATTCAATTTAATCTTTACTCATATAAATAATTTATTTAATTTCAAGTTATGTACGTAATTATTATACTCGTACTTATACACAAAGTACAAACTACAACACCTCTACATATACTTACCTATTCAAATGCAAAAAGGTTACCTACATTTCTTTCTCTCTGCACTTTGCTTAACAGTTTTTTGGAATGAAGGGCGTACCCAGGATTTCAGAAACCGGTATGAGCGGGCAGCTCATTCAGGTTTCGAGAAAATGGTCGGTTGGGTATTTTTTTAACAAAATATCTATCTGAGAAGATATTTTGTTTCCAACACTTCATTTTGCGCAGAGTAGGTAACACGTTTTTAATTCCCATTTGCCAGGAAAATTGACATTTATATTATCTTCTGGGGGGGAAGGGGGGAGGGCAGTTGCCCCACCCCTACCCCTACTTGGGTACGCCCATGTCTGAGATCATGGTCAAACTTACTCTATATATGAGTAGATAGCAAGACTAAAAATTTTACAAGAATAGAACAATAAAAAATAGAATAGATAGAATTTACATCAACTTCAAACACAACAAAACTTTGTAATTTTTTCAAAATTCGGGGGTAGATACCCGTCGCGCGTAGATTACGTCGTATCCCGGAGCATAAAACCTTTGGATCTCTCACTCTCTCTCTCTCTCCCTCCCTCACACGATCAGTGACTTGAATTAAATTGCGCGCAACTTTGTTTTATTATATTACTGTTTTATTTTACTAAAAAAATATCGAAAATACCGGTTTTTGTGAAATTAAAACCGGTATTTTAAAACCTGTATTTGTTCCGGTATCCCGGTATTTTCGGTATCCAGGGGCTCTATTTTTGAATCATTCGTCTCGCGTCGAGCGCTCGTTTTCTACTGATTTTCGTTCGACTTAACAAATTCGCCATTTCTAAATCGCTCGACTGCAACGAGTGGTATGAACCACTCGTCGCTTAGCGAACGTTGTATGCGAGTGATAGAAGAAAACGAGCGCTCGACGCGAGACGAATGATTCAAAAATAGAGCCCCAGGATTCCGGTTTGCGACCCCTATTCCGAACGAGTGGCACTTGTTTTAGCTCTTGAAAAAAATAGGTACAAGAGGCCGTCCAACAATTTATTATTGTAATAATAACACTTATGATAACATTGTCTTGTATAATGTCAACATCAGTTTTCTACGTTATTATGTGGCACACGCGTCATTTATCGTTGTTTTGATTTAATTGGTTTTGCTCGACATTGTCGATTAATGATAGTTAATCAATAGGGCATATTACAAGCCAAGTTTCTGATAAGATTGAAATGCAAAACTAAGTTAAAACACGATTATGTGCAATATGATCCATGAAGAAATTAATGAGAGCTGTAATGGAAACAGAACTTGCAATGATCCAAGCTTGAATTACTCGCTCGACCGGCATTGTAACTACTAACATTTGTGTGTTGGTAAGAGTAATATGGCTAACCATAATGTGTATCAAATTTGAGATCCTTCATGGTGGCTCGGTGGATCCACTGGCGCCTCTTCATATTGCCTCCATCCACAAACACTTCGCTGGAACCTGATGTCTCTTGATCTGGACTGGAAACGCCATACCGAACTATTGATTCTGTGTCGTTGAATGTTGACCATGTTGCAACTATGTCATTAGTCTTCGCTGAAAGTATGAAAGAAAGTAGTATATCAAAGTTTTTAATCACTGTACTGATACACATCCTAAAAATCCATAGCGTCAATGCAGAAATAATATACTATTTCGAAACATATGTCATTTACTTATAAAAGCTTAGATAAATTTATAATTATCATGGTTTAAAAGAATCTGGTGAGATTGATCTGTCTTCAAATCTTTGTTATAAAAGATAGGATTTTTTCTTTTATCAATTTTAGATCAAATTCAAACTTGCTCTATAATATGTGGCTGTTTAAATTAGGTATCAATGATACTCCCTTATTTTGCTAACATGCAGAAAATGCTATATTAGATAATTTCAGTACAAAATTTTGCATAAATAATTTTATCAATAGTCAATATGTGGGTTGTGTTATCTCTAATGTTAAACAAGGGCATATTAATATAAAGATAAATCTTTTATGGAACAAACTTTAATGAAATAAACAATGTAAAAAATATATTTTTAGTAAATAAGCAAAACATTGACATAATACTCTCTTTATAAGCATATAATCTAAATATATATAACTCAAAGGTGACTGAGTGACATAGTGATCTATCAACGCACAGCCCAAACCACTGGACGGATCGGGCTGAAATTTGGCATGCAGGTAGATGTTATGACATAGGCATCCGCTAAGTAACTATTTAGATCAATTCTATCCCCAAGGGGATCAAATAGGGCTACTATGACGTAGGCATGCCCTAAGAAAGAATTTTGATAAATGAAACTTTATTTCAGATATTACACAAGATACTTATAATGAATAAATATTCATTAGAAATGCTGCTTAAAGTAACTTTACTACTCAGACGAAGTCGCAGGCAAAAGCTAGTCATTTATCAATACATATCATACTACAATGACAGTATAACAGATGGTTACACTGATTATAACATAATTTTAACTTGTATCTTGACTGCAGGGATAGAGCAAATATAATCAAATATACAATTACAATACAATATCTAACAAAACACAATCTTCAATGAAATAAGCGTTAATTATTTATTAAAGGCAAATGCCTTTTTGCCAACCGATTGCCAACCTATTTCAATCCATAATTTGGTAGTAGGTAAGTTCAGAATTGATTACTGAATAGAATAGATCTTTATTTGCATCAAACATGGTATTTATGGTTTTACAAAAATAGGCATTTTAAACATTTTTCGCTATTCTTATTAGCATACAAATATATTAATTATTAATACCAATACGAAATATGAAATTTTGCCTTAAGTTTTACAGTCCCTAAAATATGGTTGAATTAAGCAATGGCTGGCTTGTGTCATGCTGCTTGTAGTAAAGGGTAGAGAGGAATCTATTCAAAGTCTTATCTCTTTTGTTTATTTTATTGTACATATTTTATTTATATTGATTATTTTAACATGAGTTTGACAAGCAGGTAATCATTTAACAAATAAATGCTTATATAATTTTTTGTTTATTGTAATATTGTGATTGAACGGTCTGATGAAGTCATTTTTCAATTCAGCATCTCTATATGAGATAAGGTATGGAGAAAAAAGCACTTCTAGCCGAGTTCTTTGCTGGTTCTTCTTGGTGCAAGGTCTCTCACTGTACATTTCTGAATGTTTTGACCTCCTCAAATGCTTGTAATAGCTTAGACAGAATAATGATGTATCGTTATGTATTTTAGATATGATTGTGAATTGTTTGCCTTGCCTTCTTTAGGTAAGTTTGAGCTAAATTATTACATAGTTATCATTTTACAGAGTGAGAAACATTTCTATACTGTAGGGGCTAGTGCAAAAGCGACAGTCGCCTAGTAGAGGCCAAGGGTTAACCTCGGCCTCTATTAGGTTCTAAAATAAGTAAAAAGAAATCAAATTTCTTACCACCAAAAGAAATGTGCACTTGTTCTGGTTGATAATAATTATCCAGTATACTTTTAGACGAACACGCTCCTAACAATAGCAGCAGTGTGTAATACCACATTATAGAGAAATTCCGTTTACTTTCGTTGTTGTTGTTTAAATGTAAATCAATATATCGGAAATACCGCTCCTCTTGACGTGCGGATAATAAATGACTAAAATGTGAATAAAATGACAAAGGAATGTAAGCAGTAGAATTGGTATTATACCTATTGTAATAATATTGAAATGGATATATTTTAAACATACATCTTTATATAATTCAGTTTTTTCGAAGTTGCAACAAAATATAATACCCTATATCTACACTGAATCCATAAAAAAGTTTTTCAAATTACAACAAACGATCAATTTCAAACAAAACAAATATAAAATTTCCCCCAACCTAGTTGAAGTTAGGGAGGTGATAACATGATCGAATTATTTATACTATGATGATCGATTGCAAGACGCATTACAAGTAACTGAAAAACATCATTTTAAATCTAATGAATAATTATTATAGTATATTGCATATAGGTTTTATGTTGTTTTATCGACAATAGTGTGATAGGTTATTCGTTTCCATAAAATATTTTTGTAACAAATAAACTTATTTTCCTTCCTTGCTTTATTTTTTATTATTCAACTAAAAAAATACAGTAGTATAATACTTATATCTGAACGGTACAAATAAACTTACAAAAGTTTTTCCATGTACCTTCGATTCGCACTCAGTCTGTTTATTACACGCTTAGCAATTAGCATATTTTGGTAACTGAAATATTAGTATCCCTACACAAATATTGTAGTTAAAAGTTCTCATTTAGTCGTAACTTGTTTATCAATGAAATATTTCTTGATTTTAGAGTTAATGTTTTTGTTATGTTTAATATGTATTTTATATTAAGCGGGATGTGATTCAGAAGAAAACCCTCCATTCTGAACCGTTCTGAGACTTGATACTTAAGCATACATTTTCCATACATATTTCTGTAAATTGATGCTATAAACTTTGGACTTAATGCTTAACGGGTGGCTTTTGTGTATGTACGAGTTCCAATAATACACCATGATAAAGTATTAAACGCGTAACTGTAATTGACAAATATCAATAATATGTGTTTTTTTATAATTTATTTTTGATCAACGAAGAAAGTAATTGTGTTGTGTTTTTGTTAGGCTGGTACCGCAGATGGAAAAATCAAAAGTTCGTTTTACTCATAAATAAAATGGAGTGACATTTATAATAATTAAAGCTTATGGGATATACATTAAATTAATATTATTTAAATAAAAGAGTTCTAATACTTTAAGTAGGTATCGATACTATATGGTACCAAACATCACTACGTTTAGGTGTTTTTATTTGTTTGGTTTGAACAAGGGGATCTAGTTCATATAGCACGATAATATTTTTACCGTAATATGCTATTGAGGCAACAGAAATAAAATATAGTAGACCTCTATGGGTAATTTTTTTTCTCTGTTTTTCTCATTTAAAATAGGTGCTTCCATTCAATACGGCACTCGATGTTTATAGATGATGAAGAATCTGATGGCAAATCGGGAAATTTCAATTTGTAGAAGTCAACATTGGGAAAAAGGGAAATACGTCTTGATATTTGTAATATCTTTTAATGTAATAAATGACTTTTTTCGTTGATCATAAATTATAAATTAATGAAAATAAATTATAAAAAAACACATAATATTGATATTTATCGATTACAGTAAGGCGTTCGTTACTTTGTCATGATGTATTATTGGAACTCGTACATACACAAAGGTCAACCGCCAAGCATTAAGTCCAAAGTTTAAGTGTGCAAAAAATCAGGCGCACTAGGTTATCGATATGTGGCGAGTGTCATCCACTGAGATCATCCCAGTCGTAGTGTCAACGAATGGCCTAGTCCCAACTTCTCTTCACGACCATTTGAAGAGGTTGGGACTCCGTGACGGACCAATGAATGCGAGGCTCCAGCGGGCGATCTTGCTTGATAACGCAAGGATCGTCCACCGTTTTCTCTCTTTGTCGCCCTGACCCCCGGCCTTCTGGCCTCCTCTGCCGGGGGGAATCCTCCCCCCCTCCCTCGAATCGTCGAGGGGTCGGGAAGAGTAAATTTTATACTAAATAATAATATTTTTTTTATTATTTCGGACATCCAAGATCCGTGTTATTCTTAGTATGAACTTATGTTAGCTGTAGACACACACAAATAATTAATAAAGGATATAATATTGATGGAATAGTTTCCTATTTCATCAATACTCGGGTACAGTGTATGAAAAAAGGACTATCCCATTTTCCAGCTAAAGTGTGTAGGATGATGTTAGTAAGGACGCTATTTTCCTACGTATACACGAACCGCGGGAGCCCCAACAACATCCTAAACGCGTTATTATATTGGACAATTTCATTATTCTTAAGTAATATAAGTTTTTATAATAGTTTTAAATAACATAATTAGTGTGTAAGTTTCGAAATAAATAAATTTTGTAGGCTCTCTTTACGGTATTGCCTTAGTAAGTTACCATGTAAATAGTAGGTTTCAATAGTGGCGCCGCCACTGGTAAACATAGGCACTAATTTTTATTCAAAATGTATATAAGGCGTGAAAAATAGTGAATAAATCAATCATTCCGCTCTCTGCTTTCGTTGCGCGCACGCGTGTACCACTGGACCACTACCAATACTGTAAGTACATCTCGTGCCTTCTGCACCCCCGAGCGCAGGCCCTGCTGCTTTTGTTTTTTTCAAAACATCAAACCAGTAGGACTTGACTCACTTTCAACTTCTTGAGTTGGTGGATACCTAACGGTAGCAACTAAGCCGGCTGAGCGATCCCGGTGCGCTCGCTAAGGCCCCTCAGGCTTTAGCAACACCGAAGACCCGATCCAAGTGCACTTGCGTGCAGCGGCTAAGCTCCGCCGCGCTTCGTCCACGCAGGAACGCCTTCTGGCGCTTTGCGAACACGAAGCGTTATTAAATGCGTTATCATAAGCACTTATAACATGTTAGATTTCCCAAACCTCCCACAATCCATCCTTTGGCCGACCGGACCTCCTTACGAGACCCAGTAGGCCAATCCCGCCCCCATCATACTGGCCCTTCAGGTCAACCCTCTCTGCCCTCTCGACATGACATCCCTCAGGATTCAGGCCACACAATTTGTTACGGGCATCAAATAGCACCCTTCTGGTGGTATGCGATGCTCCCCTCCCCGCCCTTCACACCCCGACCCTTCAGGTCATACCCCCGTCCGATCTGGCTGATCGTTCCCCTTCAGGGAGTCAGCTGTATTTCAATCCGATGATCTGAGCCCCCCGGGGTTAACGGCTTACATCTCGATGTCACAATTCATGTAAGTGAATAGTGATGTCTGCACCCCCCACCCTATCGGGGGGGCGGGGGGAGGGCGGTCACTCCGGTCGAAGGTTCGTTGCCTCCGGGCATGTAACCTGCTGTCCAAGGCGGTGTTTAGTCAGTAGGAGTCTGACATAACCTCACAGCCGGCTGTGTGGTATCCAATGAAGGATTCACTGCCTCCTTCCCCCGTTGGGAGGGTGGTTCCGAACCCCTAAGGTTGAGAGCCCAAAAAATAAAGTAAATAAATCACTTTCTCGTGTGTTTTTGGTCTTTCACTATCTTCACCACCAGCAACCCCTCAACCTACTGGGCTCAACTTGACTCTATAGGAAGTCCAGTACAGTATAATACCTTGCGGCTTCACGTTGTTTGTATGCTGAGATCTTTTAAACTTCACAACAAATGCGGTTTTCGCCAATATGGGTATACAGGCGAAGAAGGGGAAGGTTGCTTCGTTCTTTCGTTGGCGGCGTTGTCGTCGCGGCGTGTCTCGGTGTTATTTCGAAAGCATAAGGGACCATGAAAGTGACTTAAAAATATATATATATAGCACCTGGCTAGGGATTAGTGATTTATTAAAAATAAGACACAGAATATCAAAATCGCGCGATGAAGGCTTGCCCACAGAGCTCTGTGAACAATTTATTTTGCACTCAGAAATTGCCAGAGTTAAAGAATAAGGGGACAGAGCAATGCGTGTTGTATAATATTTATCAAGTCGGCAATGTGCGGCTTTTCACATTTAAAGTTGCATCTCTCAAATACCATTTAAAAATATTATTTTACTGTTGAAACAATTCAATCCTGTAGAGTGCTATACTACTCGTACAATACGATAGATACATATACTGACTATAAATGAAAGATAAATTAAAGTCGTTTATTGTAAATAAAATCCCTTATAGAAATTTAAATTATATTAAAACTAAAGTCAGTGGCTGATTAAAAACTGCGAGGTTTTGTAAATTATAACTTTTGGTATTTTTGTCTTATAAGGTTGCCGACCTCTGGGCTATAACAACGACAAGGATTGTTCAACAGACCATTCCTCACTTGAAAATATTTTAAATTAGGGAAAATAAATAAATATTCAGTGATCATTTAGGTTCTTCATTTAATTGTCTTAGTAAAAACATAATCAATAATGTATGAAAATCATAATAATATTCTAAATAACATTATTTGTACACTTAAAAATAAAGATTATATCACAAATTATACTTTATGATAACCGATTTGTACTTTAGGTGAATAAACAACAAATGTAGTTAAACAATCGCATTTTATGTTCATTTCATATGCTTGGCTTGGTATAAGGAATTCAGATATAAAAATATAAATAGATCATAGATTAATCTTAGTGAAAAAATATAAGTTCTAGAAGTTGAGGTCAAATCAAACCAAAATTCATTTCCCCATCACTGTGTTTGTCTCTACTACTGTTTGCTTTCTTACTTCCTTTGCCTAAACTAACTTCTCCTTCACTTTTCAACGGTAAAATTTCATTAGATAGCATATCAGAATTACTTTCGCATAAATTAGATGAAGAGCTGCATTCAGAATTAGACCGGATTCTAGTTGTTCGATTTTTTCTCTTCAGTTTAAATTTGATCTCTCCTAAACTACTTAATTCAGATGAAGATTGATCGGCGTCTACCGAACTGGAGCTGTCGACTGGCTTTATAAATGGTTTCGTAGCTTTCGTTTTACTTTTTTTTCCCATTTTAGATTTTGTGCTCGAGGTTTCATAGTAGTTATCTAAATTTGTAAGAACATCGCGAGAATTCTGTGGCAAACGTAAACTAAAACGTGGCGAAGATAGATTAATGGAAATCCCCAGATCATCGGGCTCATTGTCAATTATAATTTTCAAATCCTCAGTATTGCCCAACAGGATTGGACTCGTTTGACGATCGACGGTGAGTGATAGTGAGAAGGGTGATGTAGTTCTAGTCTTCGTTTTAGTTGGCGATGTCATTGCACTTTTGACTCGAGCTGGTGAAGTTTGGGTATTTTTTTGCGATGCAGCCACATTATTCTTTATGTCTTCGTATTGTTTTTCTTTTGAAGAAGAAGGTTTCATTATGTTATTTTCTATGAATTCACCATATTCGTCGATAATTAACTTTTTTATAAACTCCTTTTCTAATTGAAATAAATTATCCAACTCTCCTTTAGGATCAATTGATAACCTCAAATCATTATGTATAGGTTGCCTGTTGGTCGATCCATTTCTAGGAGAAGTTTGACTGTCTTTAAGTGATATTTTACTAGCGGAAATACTTTGTGTCCCTGTTTCTTGAGTATTGACTGAATGAACAAATTCAAAAATATCTACAGTATCTTTAAATGACAGGTTAGAAACTTTTGTGTATGTCGTGTTTTGTAAATTTTCTTCTTGATTACTAAAAGAGGGTAATTCTTGTTTGTTGATTTCATTGGTATTGTCCCTCTGATTTGATTCTTTAAAATCATCTGATTTATCGCTACCCAAGTCATGTATATCTTTTGAAGACGTGATCGATTCAGATTTTTCATCTTCAAAGTCATCTGCGTAGCTGTCGTTACTGGCGCCTATATTTGATAAAAGGTTATTAGAGGGCTCTTTGAATTCTTTAGATAAAGTTTCGCTAATGGTTTTTTCAATATCAATGACTTCATGTAACAAATTTTCATCGGAAGTACTAAGAATTTTTGAAGTATCTTTGTTTTTCCGTTTTACTGGACTATCTTTATAAAAAGAATTTTCTCTGCTGCTTAGTATTTTGTCTAATATTGGACTCAAGGGTAAATCGTTTTTGTTTGGGATATCGCATATTTCACGTTCTATGTCACTCACTCTAACTCCTCCCAACGTTAACTTTGTATATGGAATGTATTCTCCGTTGTTTAACATGTTAGAGTAAAGATTACATTTAGAAACATTAGACTTCTTCGGTGAATTTTTTCTCGACTTTGACGTATCTCTACCACGAGAACTTGAGGGCTGTCCATAAATTGAATTCAATTTCTTTTTCCATTCATCTATATTGAAATGTGTCCGCTTTTCTATCGTTTTGGGGATATTCTTTTTGTTTTTAGTGTCTGGTCTCCCGTTATGTCTAGACGAAGCTTTTGCTGAAAGTTTGAATTGTCTTTTACTATGAAATTTTTGTTGGACATCGGAACTAAGATTGTTAGTAGATTCGCTACTGTCATATGTGGACATTTTATATATTTTTCGATTAGGTTTTTTATTTGAGTCAAAGTAAACTTGCGTTTGGCACTTTGTATGGTTTATATCGGAAGTTTTCTTTGATATTATTGCATATGGTTCTTGCTTGGATTCATAAAATACCTCGATAACACCAATGTTTTTAGCATTATTCGTTTTTGTTTCATTATTTTCTATAAACTCTGGTGAAATATTCAAATTAAGCACTCTCTGCTCCTTCAATTCGCTTCTTATACTTATACTGGGCATATTTTGTATTTGTAACTGTTGTTTCTGTTCTTTCTTTTGTTCCATGTGGTTATGAATTACTTCATCATATAACACTGTAGGTGAGCTTTTTTTAGGTTTGCCATTGCCTAATTTCTTTTCATCAGAAACCATTATATTATTTTCGTTAATTTGAACAGCTTTTAGTTTAGTAATTTTTAGGCATTTATCAAGAGTAGGTTTTTTCGACGTTGGTATTGAATTAGTTTCTGTCCTTGTATTAACAGTCTTAGACATTTGAGTTAAATTTTTGTTGGGTTTCAACTCAGTTGAGAATGACGATGGTTTTTCAATAATTTTATGACCATGAAACTTTGCATTTACAATTTCTTCAATATGAACTTTTTCATTAAATTCCTCATCTAGCGGCGCCGGTTGCGATTTGATTTGCAAGCCTGGTTCTTTAGTTTTCGAGAGTTCTCCGGACAGCAGCTTAAGATCATCTGCGGTAGACTGCAGCATGTCGTGAAGTTTTTTCAAAATTATTTCATCTTCAGGTCTCAAAGCTGGTTCCGAATTCCAAATCTCATCATCTATGATATTAACCATTTCAATTTTTTTGTTGTTTTCAACCTGAAATGTATAAAGGTAATAATTATTTACTAAGGTTATGTTAGGTACTTTTGTCCCCTTTTAAAAGACCTTTAAAGTAAATATAGAATAAATTTGGTAGATTGTATTTTAGCTTTGTTTTTCATATTAAAAAATGAACATCTTTGATCATCACATGAAAGCAATAAATGAGTTTGATATAATTCATTGTCATTCTTTTGTAATTCGCAAAAGGAAACTCTAGAAGAGTTAAACCACTAAAAATCAAGTAAACAGCTTAATTTTAAATCTTATATTTCTTTGATTGGAATTTAAATTAAATTAACATACCAAATATCTATCGACTGGGTATCGTGTGATTCTGGGCCTCATCTGTTGGTCAAGCACAGGGGTTCCGGCATCCTTTCCGTCACTCCGCTGTGGCGATCTATGGAACAAAAGAAAAAAAATTAAAACCTCAACTACTTACATAAAATATCAAAACCAAAAATAACATTTTGAAGCACATACTAGGTTGGGGGAAAGGTCTTTTCGTAACAAATCTTTCTGACTGTAAGGTCAAAGTCAAAAAGGTCGGTCAGGCTTCACAGACTGCGAAACCCGAGTTAACTTACTGTCTGTAATTGACTTTTTGACAAATGTTTATTTATATTTTAAGCTTTAATTTCTTAAAGATTCAAGTTCAAATTGGTTAGTAAATTTGTTATATTGTAATAACCGATGTGTTAAAAATAGTCGAAGGTTAGGTTGCGGTTGACGGCAAGTCTGGTCAGATTCACACGGGGCAGACATTACTCCAATAAATTTTATGCCATAATATATTCAGAATTAAAATAAAATTGAATTCAGATTTGCCTTTTCCTTATTATAATAAGCTGTACGAAGTCCACTGCTAAATCAAAGTTAAAGTCAAAATAATCTTTATTCAAATAGACTTTTTAAAAGTATTTTTGACAACTAAGCATTGGCCATTCTCTTAGATTTCCATGACGAACGGTCACACACAACTTCCGGCAACGTTAACCAGATCGTCGGTCCACCTAGTAGTGGCATATCCTAGAACCTTTTATTGTAATTTTATTCGCTATTTAGAACCGCAGCGCAGCCTATGAATATGTATGCGTTTGCTCGGTGCTCGGCATTATAGCCTTTTCCGAAACCGATTTTGGAAGTGGTCAAACTTCGAGCAAGAGGTTTCCGAATAACTCTTGAAAACAATTTGTGGACATGGCTCAGAAGTGAGATCGGTCTATTGTTCTTCAAGATTGTCCTAAAACACTTTTTGAAAAACAGGACGACTCCACTTTCCATTCATGCTTTTAGAATTTGAATAGCATTTGGATGATTTTAAGTCGGATTTTAAATGGATACACTAAGGCATGAAGTCCGCGTATGTATTAAATAAATAAATATAAAATACTGTATTTCCAAAATGTTTGAACGAACCGTAGAGTTTATTCTGGTTAAATTTGTTTATGTTATATGAAAGATGGGCATAGATTGTCTAAAGTGATATATATATATATATATATATATATATATATATATAATACTGTATATATATATATATATATATATATATATATATATATATACAGTATTACTATATTAAATAAAACACTTATAGAATAAAATAAATATTAATTACACTGTATCAAAATGTCAACGATTGCATCATTCATTATTTATTTATGATCCACGTTAATGCTTTATGAGAAATAATTTCTGATTTTAATTGAGGGTTAGTTGAGGGTTAATTGAGGATTATTTAGGTGAGACAATAAAAGGACAATTTTACAAAATCACATCAATTGTATTTCACCAACATGTACAATAACGTCTTAAACGAAGCATTTCACTGCTGCTTACAATTAGAAAGAGACAAGTCTCAAATTATACATTTTCGGTCGACCGCTTTCGACACCTAAGAAAAAGCCTATAAGTACAGGCGGACTATGATATTTTTGACATATTAAATGTACGTTTGAGAAAATATGTAGACACAGCTAGTATAAAAGTAGTCTTAAAAGTGTACCTTGGGGTAAACTGTTTTTCATAATTTTACTAATAATTAGTGTTAATTATGATCATGCATAAAAATAAGATCCAATACAATAACGAAATATGTTTTCTACTATTGGAAGTTCTACTATTACTAAAGATCAATTCTAACATCAATGTAAAGCAGTTCACAAGGCCTGTAAAAACACGTACATTTAATGTACCAAAACAAAAACGCACATTTTGTGCTTACAATAAATGTATTTGCCGCGTTGGGCGAGAACTAATGTTTTATAAAACCCTCTCGGTCGGGCACTTCCATTGATAATACTTATTATCAATTTCGAAACTATCAGAAATAATGGAGTTAATCTATATCTGTCACACACCCCAGCCTCGATCAGATCCATGATTTATTTAGTAAGAATAATTAATTAGCGCACATCATTCGTGCCAATTGTAAGAAAAAAACTGTGTTGTTATTAAAAACAAATTAATTAATTATTACAATGAAATATTGAAAATATGAATTACAGTTTTCTACATAAGGCTCGAAGTCTCGACTAATACTGAATGAGTTCTAGACATTTTCAGTGGCCGTCCCATGCTATCTAACATATTTACAGAAAAAGTTTTTACAACATACGATTATATATATATATATACAAGAGATATAATTCTAAAATAAATAATGGACATATCAATTTAATTGAATGTTCTAATATGTACCGTTTAAAGACATCAAGTCTCGATTTACATATGACTATCGGTTTCGCTATTCGAAAAAGTAACTTAGAAATTCCGAATGTGTCTGATTTAAGAAAAGATCATGAAACCGCACCATGACATTTGATTAATTCCCCATAGTGAACTATTCAATCGTCTCGGTTAGGCCACACTACCAACTACAATAATACAACAGTTATCATATAAGGACAAAATAAAATAATTTATAAACATGCGAAAGCAATATCCAAGCTGTATGGCTGTCCTCTGATAGCCTTCGAAATTGACACACACTACGAACCGTTTAACATTAGGACATATAATGACAATTATATAATGATAATTACTTCACTTTATACAAATATAGCAGCGAGTTTTAAGAGTTCCTATAACGGCCGCGTAGTCGCGGTTCCTGACAATTTGACATTTCACAAAATGACTAGGTACGCTCCCAGCGTGTGTAAAGCGATCTCGCTAATACTGCAGCCTATCCTGCGCTCGACCCACCCACTGACAGTTCTATCATTATAAACTGCCAGTGGGGAAATCGAGAGCTACCGACGTCCGTAACGCGCTTACAGATAACTTATCCTTACAAAATAATCAACACAAATCAACTCGATATACATCTTCAAAAAATACAATTTTTGAACGATTTCCAATATAAAACGAACGATCGTATTCACTAGAAATAAATAATTGTAATGAGTCGAAATTTGTCATCGAATGTAAGACAGTAACGGAACTCGAGCCACTCTGAATAAATCGCTTCATAGTCAAAATAAGTATATTTAATACGCGTCGTATGCAATAAATACAAATATATATATATAACGAGCTAAGGTCAGTACATAGTGCGCCGATTATCCGACGTCCAAAACTATGTTTTTACAATCAGTACTTTCGACTACATAATGTCATGATCGTATATCGTATAATACTCGTACAGTATACCAGAATCACATAAATAAATGCCAAGTTCACTATGGTTAGGGACCTAAAGGTAACTAAGAAATGGCATCCGAAGAACATCACTCACGAAGCGATGGACCGTCCTCGAAACGACGACTCCTGAAATCGATCGGACCGACACACCGTCCCGCGAACGGCGAACGCATAATCGGATATGTACTGTACAACCGGACGAGGCGCACCTCTCATAAAAATCGCCTAACACGTGGGTGGCGACGGAGCCGACACTCCGAGAGGACGACACACCGATGTGAAGGGATAATACATCTATTTACAAATATATACAAGAGTCGGTGTGGGCGGCAGGCGCCGGCCTTCTGTGCCGCGGAGCCGCGCGCTGTGCGCTTGCGGCCTCGTGCCGCGGCTACTGCTCCCGCGCTCTTCACAGCGAGAGGGACAACAGGTAGAGTCGGGGCGGCGCCGCGCTGTCCTAGGTCTCTCGCTCCTTCTTCGGTTTGAACTCCTCACCGAGAATCGTCGCTATCTCACCCTGCATGAACGCCCATGGCACCGTAGAATTGGCCAATGGACATTTTTCCCCACTCGGACAGTACACCTGTAAAAGAAGAGAGAGCACGTAAGTATTAGAGAATATTTAAAATTTGAATACTTTCCAAACGAACGAATTATAAATAAAGAAATTCAACCAACCTCTGAGCCTTGCTGCCTCTTGATGGAATCTCGGGAGCAGGGGAAGCAGAATTTATGATGGGGCTGACTGGGACACTGAACGAAGTGAGTATCTTCGAGACGCTCCTGACAGAGCGTGCACTTGAGCAGCGGCGTAGGCGCTGGCGCAGTAGCGTCAGCGCCGTCACCCGCCTCCGTGGACGAGACCGACGTAGTAGACGACACGTGTCGCGAGCCCGACGACCGCCGCCCGCCATTTGACCCTGCGATCGAAGTATACTTTAAGTTACTGTCTGCCACTCCTAAGGTGATCAAAAAAACATTCTAAAGAACCGAGCAGACTGTAACTGAATCACGAAACGTGCGCAGGCGGTCGTCGGGCGGCCGCTAGGAGCGCGGCCGGCACGGCACACGGACGCCCCGTTCGGATTCTTTTAGATCGATTTCGTCACAGAGAAAGTATGACACGATTTTACGAAAACACTTGGTGTAAATTACGTCTTACTAACAACATTTATTTAAACTTTGATCGCGAAACTGAAGTTTTTTCTATATGTATGCGATATAAAAGTTGCGAATACGCCGTTCAATGAGTTTAACTTTTTGACTGTATATAGTTATTGCATACCTGACGAATTGGGAGAGTGTTGGCTAGAGCGGCTATTTGACCGCTGTGGTGGTGGCTGGGGTGGAGATCCACCGGCAGAGCGTGGTGAACCTGGAGGCAGCGTATCAGCTACGGACATGAGTGCCGCCATTGGAGAGGGACCAGCGCCTCCGGCACCTACTCCACTAGCACCGGTCACTGGAGGAGATCCTGCCGAGCGGCCCAGTGGAGAGTTTGCAGAACCATTTGTCAGAGGTGCACTGTTGCCATAACCTGAAAAGAATCGAAACTTTAAACATAACACAGCAAACTTTTAAAGAAAATATTAAAACCTAAAAGTCGGTAAGAAGCCAAACTAAATTAAGAATGAAATAACTCCATATCAGTTAAAAGTGAACTTAAAATGTCCTTAAAGGAAAAGTTAATTAGGGGCTAACAGATTTTCTCTTTTTATGTAAATAAATAAATATAAAAAATCCTTCAGGTTTTAATTTACTCAAGAGTTAATGAAAAATAACTTGATGACAAAATTATGTTCAAATTGTATATTTGAATGGCTTGAGTGTACGATATCAGTGTACTGTATGTATGTTGGATGACACATCGTTAGCGGCAAACCGTCGGATAGTAAACACAAGTTCACACACGCATATAATGTTATATAAATAGCATTGTGTTAATATACGCTTACGTAGTGAACGGCCAATGTGTCACTGCGTGGACACACAACGTGGCGATTGCTCTAGCAAATCGTTCAGCTTAACACTGATACTAGACAGGTAGGTAAGTAGTTTATATGAGTGGATGCGAGTGCTACATTCAAATGTACAATTATAACCAGTCATACATATTGCGACCGAGCCTGCCTGCGACGTTGCCAAACCTATGTTCTATGATATGTGGGTCCTATGTATGTACGCATGATGATAGCCGGCCGTTGCTATGTTGTGAAACATATCGTGTGTCACATAAACATGTTCTGGATTTTGTATACTTACATCGGTTATACTAATATAATTTATTAACAATTTACATCGATTTAGCTACGTAAATTCAACATCGTTGAATTAATAAGGACTCGCTCACATAACGGAGATACTTATTTTCTATTATTATTGTATAATAAATTTGTAACTATCAGTGATTATTTATGTCAGTCATAATTAGGTTTGCCAGTTTATAAGGAAAATTACTTAAATAAGGGAAAAAATACGAGATTTCCATATCTTAACCAGGATAAATTAAAAAAAGAACGCTAATATTTTTTTACGTTTGTTCCATGAATGCATTTTAATGCGCGCATGATTTGACTTATTTAGAAACATCAATACAATTATAATCATAGTTAAATATGGACATTAATTTGCTTTTTATTATACTCACTTTAGCACCATTTGTCGGTTCTGGCTGAACTTATTTTAACATTTGGACGTCTGGCAATATTAGTCATAATATTATTTTATCAGAAGTCCATGTTTAAGTGAGTTAAAAAATTAGTACGTTCTCCTGAAAAGCATATTAGAGGGCATGGATGATTCGGAGGAAGGCTCGACCCATATGTTGGCGGTGACGTCACATACAGTGACCTTTTTGGCCAACAGATCGTGGCGGCAGCCGCGCGCTCTCTACACACACGCCAACGGAATGTGGTCGAGCGACTCTGCCAACTGCCAAGCGTAGGCAGGCGCTATATTTTTTCGCCCGACGATGGCCTACCTACATACGTACGCGAGCGAAAATGTCGTCACGCGACGTTGCCACACCGCACCGTGTCGTGCATGCATTCACAGAGCGGCACCGCGTTTACATTACGTGGGTGTTTGTACGTAGCGAGGTTGTGTGCGAGAGGCCGCGAGCGCGGGCTCGCTTTCGAGAACGCTCAACCAGTTGAACCGGTTTCGTATTTATGGACCGAGTTTATGCACCTACCCGTGTCTGTTAGCATATTATTGCGATTCTTTTAGGGAATTGAAAGCCAATGGTTTGCAATGTTTTGTTGTCCACCTGAATATTTTAAGTGTAGCACCCTGCTTGATTGTTGTACTATCTTGGTTACAAGGCTATTTTGTTTTCGAGAGCAATATGGTTTTTCGAATAATATTCTCATCGATTATACTTTGTAAGCGAACTTTGAACATTAACCCTTTAGGACTATTTAAAGACACCGCTCTTTTTCTTTTCTTTCACAATTCTGTACACTGATTATACAGTGAAAATTTCGTGGATTGTTCGTTTCAGGTTGAAATCGTTCATATGAAATAAATGCTACATATCAAGAATTTATCTTTCCATAAAAAATGCCGTCCCGATGCCTTTGAAGCGATTGCAAATCCTGAAGTTAGAATCTTTTTGTTAACAACTGTTGAAGGGCTTACAAAAATATTTATTGACGTAGGCTCACATAAATAGGTTAACATACTTTTTTTCTTTTCTTGGCCTTTGTTAATAACGCCGTCTTTTCCTAGGAGATTTTTGTAGTTTGTATTATTATGGTCATAACAATAATATTGCATGAATAAACCTATAAATCAAATTTAATTGATTGAAAAGAAGAAATAATAACTGATTGGTCATATTAATCTATTATTATCTAATTATACCTATCGCGAATATAATTCATATGACACAAGACCAACGTATGACTAAACAGTTTGCAGTATTATTATCGTTATCATCGGATTTTGTACCTATTGCAAATTTTTATGATACATTTATTATAAATACACTGTGTAAAAAAAACTATTTGTTCAGGTAGTTGTTATATCGAACTATAAACAATTTTTTGCTCGGTTTTGTCGTTTTTAAATAAGTGCAAGAAATAATTTATTCCAGGTAAAGACAAAGATTTTTAGAAATGTTTTTTTTTTATAATTCTAACAGACTGGCATTTTTTACTTTGTTGTATACTTACACATTTAAACTAGCATAGTTTCAGATTCTGTTTTATGAAAATGTTGGCTAAATACCGACAGAAAAAATAAAAATAATATAATGAGTGACTTACCATTTGTCTTAAATGAAGATGCATCAAAGGATGGTGTGCGTAGTGGATGTTTTTCTTGCTTGAAAACACGATCTGCTGGAGCGAACGGAGCTGCCAAAGAAACTGCTGGAAGTGAATCACCACGAGTTAGAGGAGGTCTGGAATGTTCCTCTAAAAGCCGTTTTGTAGGCTCATGGTGGTTTTGATGATCATCATCATCCAGTGGCCGCTTCAGTGTGAGACCAGGAGCGAGACGGGCACCGCCGTGTGTTGGTAAATGATGTGTAGGTAGGTGTGTAAGTCGCCGTCCTTCGTGCTCTTCTCTTCGTCCACCATATTCTGCTAACAGGCCAGCACTGGCTGTAGGTCTCGCATGGTGCAGAGTAAATCCAGTGGTGGGCGCGTGGTGAGCTGGAGGAGCAGGTTGTCCTCTGGCAGCCGTTTCAGCACCATTCTGGTGAGCTTCCAAAGGTGCGCGGTGTGCTCCTTTAGTGTGTGTCGGCCCACGACCTTCTTGAAAGCCGTGGGCGCGTTTTAACTGTCTGGCAGTATCTAACACTACTTCGATGCGATCTGCACCTTCGTAGTTGACGCAACCACGGCAAACAGCCTCTGAAAACTCATGCAACATTGCCCACGGCATACGGGGCAAGTCGCATAAGTAACAGTGCTGCCGTTTCTGCATCACCGACATCTCGCCGCCGGACGTAGTACGGACCGCGAGAGATCGGTTGTCTTCGTTTCTCTTGAAAATTGTCACAGATTTATTAGACTTGTATATACAAAACCACCATCACCAAATATCACAAAGAATCACTCGACCGTTTCACATTCGGTTACGACTACGCTAATCACCGGAGACACAGGACTTAAGAGACACTCGCTTCGATAGGTGGTCGCAGAGAGACTAAGCTCCGAACGCAGTGGGCGGCAGCGGCAAGCACGGGGTTCGGGGCGGCGGCAGCCATTATCGAGCGGTGACGTCAGCGCGCGCACCACGACCGACAAGTAGCGACGCGCGACGCGCCGAGGACGAGCCGTTAGCCGCGACGCCGACGCGGATACGCCGCCAGCGCACTCCAACACATACACAACACATTGCTCGATAACGAATGCCTAGTCACAATCAAAATACATAGTATGCGGATGCAACTGACGTCTTATTTATATGAAACCAATAGTATGATTTGTTTATACAAATCTTAATTCGGTCAAATAGGTACTTTTTCAAAACCCTATTAAATAAGATCTTCGAAGCAAAAAAATAAATCAAAGTAATCGAAAGTACTCGTATCATATGAGGCACTGTTCGGGTTGAATTCAAATCCATTGAATTTTCAATCTATTCTCGCTCGGTTTCCTTTCGGCCGGCTGCATTCTAAATTATTATTACTCAGTAACACGAACGGATCCGGTTGAAAAACGGGGCGGGGGGACGCAACCGGTGTGGCGGCCATCTTGAGACGTGACGTCACGTGACGAGTCAGCCGAGCGTGCAGTACGGCAACGTCGCTTCGCTTGATGTTATGTTAGCTATGCCATGTTGCCGCTCATTACTGTTGTGTTTTAATAATAATAATGAAGGCAGCTCATCGCTTTTTGTATGCGACCGAGGATCAGAGAAAAAACAGTTATACGGCCAGGTAAACGAGGATGACGAACTATCAAGAGTGGCTCGCACGACGGAACACAATCGAGTTTCGAGTTTTTATTAAATCTTAAATGATAAATGTTGACAAAAAAGAAAGGTTATGAAAATTTTAAAAATGCACTTTGGATTTTTTTTAGCTACATATGGCGCCCAACGTGGGGTAATATTCACGAAAGGGGGATTACCTAAAATGTTTTTGCGATAGAAATGTTCGAAAGTTCCGTGTTTAAAAAAGGCAACGCAATCTGCAATCAAGTAATCGAATTTTTATCTTATACCTTCCCTCATGAACAAAAGGTAATTAGATTCAGTGCAAAGTAAATTAGAAGAGGTGACTCTGTAAAACGAGTTTTCGCATCAGCAAGTTAAACGTTGACTAAGCAAACACAAAGTCAATAATTATACACTACAATCGAATGAATACTATTATATAGTTATTATAGTCAGCTTAGCTTTACTTATCATGACATTATCATAACATTAAATAGTATACCATAGTTCACAGATTTATTTTTTTCATCACACACGTAGATGTTTCATGAGATAAGGTACCAAGTCATTGCCCGTCAAGTAATGGCCGAAGACATAATGCTAGATCGACAAATGTTAAGATGACGTAATACATTCCAATAAGTTTGACGATGCTATATGTGTATTTTTCGATGTAACCACATAAGTTTTGTGGTTTCTCAGTACTTTTGTATGTAACAATTGCAAGATTAATATAATAAGAGAATTTGCACAATCGTTCCCGATTAGAAGTGCACAAACTGCTGCAAGAGGGTGTATAAACCATGCACTATTTGTATTCAATATCGGCTTCCTTAACTATTACCAGTCGGTTAACGTCTAAGTGTAGTTAGGGAAGTGCCTACCATAATGGACATCTCTTTATAATATCCAATATAGCGTTACGTCTTAGCCTATTTACACACAATAAAATCTACGTTATAACGTACTCCGCCTATGGATTCACCTTTTAGAAAATTCCTGTTCAGACAGATAAACGAGACGAAGAGTATGCTCTATAATGACAACATACTCACAACCTCTCGTTACGTCGACTCTCTTAATTGGCAAGATTGCCGTTTATAACATTTATGAACCTGGTTTATCAGAGGTTATCCTCTTTATTTAGACATTTATACTCCAATGAGTGTTTGTGAACACTATAAATATTATATTAGAGATATGATATTACACTACATTAATTAAAATTATCTATTATATTAATTGCGTCGTGTGTAACTGAAGTGAGAATAGGACTGGTCGGTATACCGATGACGATTATATCGTTGGAATAATTACATTTTTGTTAGTTGAGTGAGTGGTTCTAGTGCGCCTCCGACGGTTTTAAATCCATCGGGATGGCCAGGGTGTCTCGGTGGGGTAGAGATAGGGAGTGATCACGTATATTCTGGCGTGGGGAGGGATCGATGAGTATGGAGACGACTCCAGACGCATGCGTCGACCCGCACCCATAACACGTGTCAATGTTTATTTACGTTTCGTGCACGTATTATTAACATAAACCCGGTCTCGCTCTATCTTTGTCATCTTAAAACAAAAACGCTTGCTCTGAACTCATTCCGTACACATATCCTAGGTATCAAGCAAAACTCCGTTAATTCGTAGCATATACAAAATTCTTTCAGTTCTGTTGCAACAGTCTTTGTTATTATAATGTCAAAATATCTTAAATACAAAAGTACCAATTTGCTATACAAAAATTGTCAATTTTTGGACTGTAAATGCACCATAAGAATTAAGTCACAATATTAACTTTTTTTAGAAACAGTATAATATTTTTTATACCATCTGTTTTAAATCAACACCATCCTGTACCATTTCCACTGTTAGAGTATAGAGTTATACCGCATTTACTAATGAAGATTTATATTACATATCTAGTATTTATAGATAACAATAACGAATATAAAACTCATTAAAATATAATAATCCAAATCAGATCCAAAATAGACTGTTTCATATAAATTGCTTATTTATATTTCAAGTTGAACAGGTTCACATTGATTGAATGCCGGGGGGGCAAAAACAACTCTATAAATAACAGAATCGAGGAAGTAGTTTATTTTAGAAGTTTAATGTTCGCTCGATGGCGTATTGAATGGAGCATTGACTAGCCAATTTTCCACACCCTTGAATTTACACAGGAAAGATTTTCGGGTAAGGCTCACTAAAATACAATGTTATATGTCAGTTGCGATTCCCGGTATAGAAGGGAGGGGGGGGGGAGCCCGGTATCGACCCGTGACGTCATTAGGCCTCACCCTGGCCGATCCCGGTCTGATATATAACCACCACAAATGGGATATATAAAATACTTCACACTAAGTACGTATCGATTGAATTTCGGTGTATTTGTCTGGTGACTAGTCTAGTAACATAATTATTTTACATGTTACATATAAAATGACCGAAACAGAACTGAAACAGTTTACATCAAGGACTAAAGTGAATTGTCACAACAGCTAAATCAAACCCAATATGTTAGATGATTAATGAATAATGAAAAAGCGCCTCCACAGAAAAATATGAAAGTTTTTACGTAATAAGTAGTCAACGAAAATAGCCGAATATGTATAACATATTCGGCTATTTTCGCTAAAGAGTATAATCGAGGAATTCGATATTTTAGCAATTGTATAGAAGGATCACTTCAAACTATAGTAACTTTTGAATCGGAATCGATTCAAGTTATGTAACATTTCCGAAAAAAAAAATAAGTTCAAAAACCCAACTAAAGCTAAATCACGCTCTTCTGTACATATAGCTATATTATAATAGCGATGACCAAAGGACAGCGTACTCGTATGCCACTGATAATAACAAAACAAATAATAAATATATTTGCAATATACTAATTAAGCCATTTGATACCCCTACATGGCATGATTGAATAATATATTTTTTTAGTTCCCAATTTGATGTAACATAGCCTAAATGCACGCGAAGAACTAAGACGCTTATAATAGTCCGGTTACGATGAGTAGTTTTGAAGTTATAAGGGAACAGATGAACATTCTTACATACATACAGGCCAAAACATAACCCTCCTTTTCGTTTCGCCGATGTAGTCGAGTAAAAATTAACAAGACCTATCATAACGTCTACGAATCGTTTATACCGCCGACCGGTGCAACACAAGGCGGGGTGACGTGTATACACAATTTTTATTGAACGATTGAAAACGTGGCGCATGCGTCAACGGATCGATCCCGATGAAGGACCACCCTCGTAAGTTAGTCGACACTATCCTAGGGAGGAATGCAGAAGATGATAACGATGGCTAACATGAAGCGCGTTGAGCAAACCTTGAACTCAGCAGTCGAAGCTTTTATTTTTGGACTTCTTTATCCACTCAAGGAGTATGACGTCTGATTGACACGACGTAGATCTTACGTTACATAAGCTATTACACTATTGATAAACAACAACAAAAAGAATATCAAATCTTTCTGTATTTATATATTTCTAGTTTGACAGAGAAAGAGGTTACAATTATCTTTCGTAATAAGCGAAGTTAATTTTAAAACAAAAGATACAAAATTGTAGACAGAGTAAAATATTAGGTGATTTTCAGTTGAACGACCTCCTGTATTTGTTTGGCTCGTAAATGCAATTGCAACATCATGCGGACAAGAGACGGCACTGCAACGGCGATAGTTCATTGCCGGCGATCAATAGCCGGCAGACGCTAAGCCGGTCAGTAGACTTACCTTATAGATATGTATACGAGCAAATAGAAAGTCCCGTTTACCAAACTTATGTTCATGTTATCATCGTTTATCTGTCGAGTAGAATCCGCTTCAGGACATTACTAATGTAAACTGTCGTTACTAACGATGATATTAGATAATCTAAATAAGGTACATTCACTCGACCTTAATACAAAACATGTGTATGATATCTCAAAAGATAAGATTTATCGTTTGTTGTAAATGAGAAATCACAGAATAATAATACAAAAATAATATTAGCCGTGTAACAATGACGCTCATTAATTAAGTTTCTATGTGACA